AACCTGACCTGCATGAAAATAAACAGATAATACTCCCTACAACTGTACAACAACTACAACAATACTACACCTGTACAAAAAGACAATAATACTACTACTACTAACTACTGTAACAACTACTGTACAGATAATACTCCTACAACTGTACAACAACTCACCCAAATGTAACAGATAATACTCCCTACAACTGTACAACAACTCACCCAAATGTAACAGATAATACTCCCTACAACTGTACAACAACTCACCCAAATGTAACAGATAATACTCCCTACAACTGTACAACAACTCACCCAAACGTAACAGAGAATACTCCCTACAACTGTACAACATCTCGCCCTTATATAATGTATAATACTCCCTACAACTGCACAAATATTCACCATTATGTAACAGATAATACTCCCTACAACTGTACAACATCTCAAAGATAATACTACAACTGTAAGTTAATAAATATCAAAAACTCCCTACAAAGACTGTGTTGTCGGACTCGCCTTGACGTCGCTCCGTCTCACTGCAGTTTGGTTTCATTTTCACGCCAAACGTCTGAAGAAACAAAAGAAAACAAAAACAGACAAAGAACAAAAGATAAATGTGACCTGCAAAATAAACAGATAATACTCCCTACAAATGGACAACAACTTGTCTAAGATAAAATCATAAATGTCTGTCTGTATAAATCATGTAGATATGTATATTTTAAATCAGATCTTTTATATATATATATGTTTTATTACTATGTTATAAATATATAAGAGTTTACGCAGCATTTCATCACTAAACAATCAACATTTAGGCCACAGAAAAACAAACGAGATGATCAAAAATGTAGTAAATGTAAAAAAAATATATAGTAAAAATATTATTTTAATTCTATATGAGAGTTTATGGTAAAACAAACAACAAATAGATACTACATACAGACAAAAAAGAATTTGCTAAAATCAAGTAAATGTAAAAAAAAAAATAATAATAATAAATAAATAAATAAATAAATTTATTTATTTATTTATTTATATATATAGCAAATCTGTTATCGTGTTATAAATTTGTCATCATAATTTTATCCAAAAGTTTACAAAGTATTACTAAATAAACAACATTATAATAAACAACATTTAGGTTACATAAAGACAAAAGAGTGATAAAAAAAATCTATTTAAAAGTTAATGTTAATAATAATAATAATAATAATAATAATAATAATAATAATAATAGTAAATGTCAAAAATAAATTTAGTAAATGTTATTATTATGTTATTATAATTCTATGTAAGAGTTTATGAAAAAAAACAAAACACTGATATTTAATTTATTGTCATTTGTGCACTGAGCAAAACTACATTAAATAAATCACATTTTTATATAAAAGACAAAAATATTGATCTAAAATCTCAGTAAATGTGTGTTTTATATTTGATACGTGTTTATGGTAAAAACTGTGACATTTAAAAAAGAATCATCGGACGCTTTTGTTAACTCTGTAACATTACGTTTTTGTGCAATAAAATTATAATTCTGACTCTTTTATCAAAATCATCTTTTATTTTCATTATGAACATATGAAAGATGTTTAAAAATGTAATTCATATTCTAGTTTAGTTAGTTTTATCTTTATTTAGTTTGTATTTCACTTTTTACAGATTCTACAGAAAACTTCCCCACAAATTTCCCCGACTGTGAACTGTAAATACCTCATCAGTGTTGTGGAGTAACAGATTACATGTACCAGAGTTAAGTACCAGAGTACAAATGATGAGTAACTGTATTCAGTTACAGTTACTGTTTCAGTGAGTGGTAATTGGATTACAGTTACTTTGTTGAAATAAATGGATTAAACAGAGGGATTTTACTGTTTTCACATTTTGGACTATATCCCTTTTTTTTTTTTTTTTTTTTGGTAATTCCACTCATTGACGAACACTAAACCAGGTCTAAAACAGGACTAAACTAGATCTAACCCAGGTCTAAACCAGGTCTAAACCAGGTCTAAACCAGGTCTAAACCAGGACTAAACCAGGTCTAAAACAGGACTAAACTAGATCTAACCCAGGTCTAAACCAGGTCTAAAACCAGGTCTTAACTAGGACTAAAACAGGACTAAAACCAGGTCTAAAACCAAGTCTAAAACCAGGACTAAACCAGGTCTAAAACAGGACTAAACCAGGTCTAAAACAGGACTAAAACCAGGTCTAAAACCAGGTCTAAAACCAGGACTAAACCAGGTCTAAACTAGATCTCAACCAGGACTAAAACCAGGTCTTTTATCAGACAAAACATTTTATGTGAAGATTTCCTCGTCTTTGCTTCTCTACAGCAAATCAAGTAATCCAGAGTAATCAGATTACATTACTCACTGTAAGTAATTTAATGGATTACGTTACAAACTACATTTTGGTGTGTGTAATCTGTAATCTGTAATCTGTAGGGGATTACATTTTAAAAGTCACCTTCCCAACACTGTACTTCATTCTGTCATCGCTTAACCGTGTACGAACACAGTGAACGTTGTTTGCCTTATTTTGTCTGCTCAAACATTTATAAACATAGAATCAGAATAAACAGACTCATATGTTCAAATGTAAAAATATAACGGTGAAGACAGGTGATAAACTATTGTCTGTTGTAACGCAACGTCAAAATCTCGTTCTACAATTATTTAATTATATTTATTACTTTTATAGAAAAACAGTGATCGTTTCTTACCTTATTTTGTGTGCTCGGAGCGTTTGAAACTTAAAATAAGAGTGTGCAGAGACCCGTGTGCTCTGGTTTAGGTGTAAAGGCGAGTCTTGAGTCGATTGTGGAGCTCGAGTTTGAGCACAGACCACATGAGAGGAGCAGGAAGAGCCAGACGAGCTCGTGGTTTCACTGCAGCGTCCGGTGCACGTCGACTTTTACCCGAGACAAAAGGACCAAGACGAAAAGTGCAGCGTGTAAAGTGTAGACTGAGAGGTGCACCGGGCTAGCGCTCACAACAACACCAGGTTCAGATCAGGAGCAGGAGGTGATTAACGGACAAAACGGACAAATAAAATCCGAGTGTCGTTCGTTCATTTGTTTTTCGATATAAAACCAAAAATCAGAAAATGAAAAAAACAACGATTTTCTTCATTATTTGTCTCCAAAACAAAACAAAAAAAAACAGTTAATGATTTGTTTTTTTCAGTTTTCGGTTTTGTGTTTAAATACCGGGACCAGGACCAGGACTGAGACCAGTTTAGTCCTGTTTTAGTCCTGGTTCAGTCCTGTTTTAGTCCTGGTTCAGTCCTGTTTTAGTCCTGGTTCAGTCCTGTTTTAGTCCTGGTTCAGTCCTGTTTTAGTCCTGGTTCAGTCCTGTTTTAGTCCTGTTTAGTTTAGTCCTGTTCCCTGTTTAGTCCTGGTTCAGTCCTGGTTTAGTCCTGGTTTAGTCCTGGTTCAGTCCTGTTTTAGTCCTGGTTTAGTCCTGTTTTAGTCCTGGTTCAGTCCTGGTTCAGTCCTGGTTTAGTCCTGGTTTAGTCCTGGTTCAGTCCTGTTTTAGTCCTGGTTTAGTCCTGTTTTAGTCCTGGTTCAGTCCTGGTTCAGTCCTGGTTTAGTCCTGTTTTAGTCCTGTTTTAGTCCTGGTTCAGTCCTGTTTTAGTCCTGTTTTAGTCCTGGTTCAGTCCTGTTTCAGTCCTGGTTCAGTCCTGGTTCAGTCCTGTTTTAGTCCTGTTTTAGTCCTGTTTTAGTCCTGGTTCAGTCCTGGTTTAGTCCTGGTTTAGTCCTGTTTTAGTCCTGGTTCAGTCCTGTTTTAGTCCTGTTTTAGTCCTGGTTCAGTCCTGTTTTAGTCCTGGTTCAGTCCTGTTCAGTCCTGGTTTTAGTCCTGTTTTAGTCCTGTTCAGTCCTGTTTTAGTCCCTGGTTCAGTCCTGTTTCAGTCCTGGTTCAGTCCTGGTTCAGTCCTGTTTTAGTCCTGTTTTAGTCCTGTTTTAGTCCTGGTTCAGTCCTGGTTCAGTCCTGGTTTAGTCCTGGTTTAGTCCTGTTTTAGTCCTGGTTCAGTCCTGTTTTAGTCCTGTTTTAGTCCTGGTTCAGTCCTGTTTCAGTCCTGGTTCAGTCCTGGTTCAGTCCTGTTTTAGTCCTGTTTTAGTCCTGGTTCAGTCCTGTTTTAGTCCTGGTTCAGTCCTGGTTCAGTCCTGGTTTAGTCCTGGTTTCAGTCCTGGTTTAGTCCTGGTTCAGTCCTGTTTTAGTCCTGGTTCAGTCCTGTTTTAGTCCTGGTTCAGTCCTGTTTTAGTCCTGGTTTAGTCCTGGTTCAGTCCTGGTTTAGTCCTGTTTTAGTCCTTGTTTTAGTCCTGTTTTAGTCCTGGTTTAGTCCTGGTTTAGTCCTGTTTTAGTCCTGTTTTCCTAGTCCTGGTTCAGTCCTGTTTTAGTCCTGGTTTAGTCCTGGTTCAGTCCTGGTTCAGTCCTGGTTTAGTCCTGGTTTAGTCCTGGTTCAGTCCTGTTTTAGTCCTGGTTTAGTCCTGGTTCAGTCCTGTTTTAGTCCTGGTTCAGTCCTGGTTCAGTCCGTATGCGGCGCAAAAATCCGGCATCACAGTTTAAGTCACGTAAACAGGAAATGTTCTTTATCAGTTGAATTAAACTGATACACGGATTAAAAACAAACCCGCAGGATCAGGTGTCGCAGGTGAATACGAATATTTTAAGACCAAAACGACGAGGTTGTTTTGGTCTTAAATTGTTTCTTCTTGTCGTCTGCACTGAAACGGAGCAAAGGATCATGGTCTATGTAGTTCTCTCTTTTTTGCTGCACCATAACTTTTAATTTAAGCAAAGAGACACTTGTAATTCGATATTATTGTAAGAAGTTTGACGATACGATATCACGATATTTCGGTTATTGTTACAGCTCTAAATACCACAGTTTTTGCGTTGGTTGCATCATTTTATTTTGTCGTATTTATCCGCCACACCTTAAAAGTCGGTCCGTGAAAATAGTAACTTATAACGTGTAAAAGTTGAATAAAAACAGACAATGATGGTGTTTTTTTTTATGTGTGGTTTAATCTTGTTGGTGACATTTGCACAGATTCACTCATTTACAGCTGGGGGCACTGCTTCGACTTCATATTTACAAAAACACATTTGGTATTTACAGGTTGGTTTTCGTCAGTGCAACGCCGACGCCTCCGACTCCGCTGTACAAAAGACTTAAATTAACACGCCCGTTACATAAATACACGCTACACTCAGTAGTACATTGCACTCCTGTTCGAAAAGTCGTGAAATTTTCAGGTTCTCAGAAGGAAACTTGTGCACGATTTGGCTAAAAAACGTGAGAAAAAAGCTACATGCGGCGCGAAAGTGAAACTGAAAGTGAAAGTGGATTTAGGATTTCAAAAATTTTAAAAGTCAAATTTGAAACAAGAAACGTAAGTTAATTTTTGTGTTTTGAGCGATGCAGATTTATAGCTAAAGCGGCGCTGTGTAACTTTTCTGGCACAGGGTCCGTCACCTCCTTGTTTCCATGGAGACGCTGTTGCTTTAACTGGAATATCCCACAGTACGGCATTACCTCTTCTGTCTTTTCAAAATCAAAATACCCTAACAATATGCAGTCTGAGCCGCCACTCCACAGATCAGCCGAGTAACTTGGCCTAGTGATGCCATGTCAGCAGCTTGTTTCCATGGAGATGCCTCTAAATATTCCACACTATGGCATTAAATTATCTATCTGTTAAAGTAGAAGTGTTTTTTAGTGCTAACAAAAGACATTTGCGCTGAATAGGGGTCGCCTCTCCACAGATTTAGCTCGTATCTTGGCCTGGTGATGTCATTTCATGTCAGCTCCTTGTTTCCATGGAGATGCCTTTGAATATTCCACAGTATGGCATTACCTTATCTATCTGTTAAAGTTGAAGTGTTTTTGCTGATAACAAAACACATTTGCGCCAAATGCGAGTCGCCTCTCCCCAGACCTAGCTCGTAACTTGGCCTAGTGGCGTTGTGTCACCTCGTTTCCATGGAGATGCCTTTGAATGTCCCACAGTATGGCATTATCTTATCTATCTATTAAATTAGATGTGTTTTGTGAACAATAAAAACACATTAACAACATTCATTCTTGAGCTGAATATGGGTCGCCTCTCCGCAGACCTGGCTAGTAACTTGACCTAGTGGTGTTGCGTCTCCTGCTCATTTCCATGGAGACGCTGTTGCTTTCCCTCGAATATTCCACAGTACGGCATTACCTTTTCTATCTCTCAGGTATTAAAGTAGATGTGTTTTTATCTCGGACAAAAAACTCTAACAACATGCATTCTTAGTCTGAGCTCGAGTCGCCTCTCCACAGATCCGACGAGTAACTTGCCCTAGGGATATCATTTCGTGTCAGCTCCTTGTTTCCATGGAGACGCCTTTAAATATCCCACAGTACGGCATTACCTCATATTAAAGCGGTGTGTTTTGTTAACAATAAAAACGTGTAAACAACATGCATTCCTGCTCTGAGTATGAGTCGCCTCTCCGCAGATCTGACGAGTTATTTGGCCTCGTTATCTCATGTCAGCTGCTCGTTTCCGTGGAGACGCCTTTAAACATTCCACAGTACAGCATTACCATTATCTATCACTCAAATATTAAATCAGATGTGTTTTTATCGCTGACAAAAAAAAAACAAAAAACAACAACATTCATTCTTAGTCTGAGTATGGCTCGCCTCTCCACAGATCTAGCTCGTAACTTGCTGCGACCTGCTCGTTTCCATGGAGACAGAGACACAGGCAAAGCAGAAAAGCAGATGCTCATGACCGACCCCTCACCAGAAAAGTGACACAGTGTGGCTTTGAATTCACAACAAGAACAATATTCGTGTTTAAAATGACAGTGTGGCGCCGCCTACAGGCAAAATGTGAGAACTGCAAAAAATAATAATTTAAAAAAACCCTGAAAATATAAGACTGTGACGTACCCTCCACCAGAAAAGTTACACAGTGAAGCTTTAAAGTGTATAGTTTTGGTGTGTGCTTAAAGGAGCAGTGTGGGATTTCGTAGAGAAAAGGAGTAAATTTTTTGGCAGATTTCGCAATTTTGTGAATCGAGAATATTATTATTTTTCCCTTTTGACACCAGAGTTCAGAGAAAATGAAAGAAAAGATGCGACAAAAAAATAAAAATAAAGCATAAATATTTGTACAGGGAGTTTGTCTGACGGCCTTTCAAAATAAAAGCGTCAGATACAGCAGCTCAAAGGGAGGACTCTTATTTTGAAACAGTTCACAGTGATTGGACCGAACTCATTAAAACAAAAAAAAACATGACACAGAAAGAAACGAAAAGGGTCAAATTTCGTACTCAGATTCACAACAGATTATGCACGGGTTTCAGAATGATAAAAAAACAGGACAGTTGCCATGGCGATTAACGGTTTAAGCCAAAATATTTCGTCTTTTTAACGGGAAAAGTTGCGGAATTTTAAACGACTTTTGTGCTCGCAAATTAAAGCTGTGTTACGTAATTTGTATTTGCTTCTCCTGGAATATTCCACGGTACGGCATTAATCTTACATCTCTATTAAGACAAGCAGGTCACGACTCGAAGTTACGGCTCAGATCTGTGGAGAGGCGAGCCCGCGTGTGTTAGGAAAGCAGGTTTTTTTCTGCGTTTTAGAGCGACGAAAAGGCTGAATAGTTGAAGAAATCACGTGTTTAATGCCATACTGTGGAACATTCCAGGTGACGTAATAGCATCTCCATGGAGACAAGTAAGTGCTGGACCCTCCCCAACAATAGAAAAGTTACGTAGTGAAGCTTTACGGTTTGTAGGATATACATTGCGTAAAACAGTTTTATTTTTTTTTCTAGTTGTTTTAGTCACGCAGTTAAAGCCTCACTATGCAACTTTTCTCACAGAAGGCTTGGAATGTTCCGCAGTAGAGCATCAAATCTGCTTATCTCCATGGAGACAAGCAGACTCAAGCTACGGGTCAGATCTGTGGAAAGACGATCCCTGCTCGCAGTCAGAACGCGAGTTTTTCCAAGTAACAAAACGCCATCTCCAACTGAATAAACGTGAGATAGAACTGTCTAATGTCGTACTGCGGAACATTTCAGGCGACGCAATAGCATCTCCACGGAGACAAGCGAGTAGTGGACCCCCCTCAATAGAAAAGTTACATAGTGAAGCTTTACAGTTTGTAGGATATTGGGATATTCGTTGTGTAAAACAGTTTTCTCATCATTCTTATTATACAGTTAAAGCTCCACTATGCAACATTTCTCGAAGATCGTCTGCTCCTTGGAAGACTTGGAATGTTCCACAGTAGAGCGTCAAATCTGTTTATCTCCATGGAGACAAGCAGACCAAGTTACGGGTCAGATCTGCGAAGAGGTGGTTCTGCTCGTGGTCAGAAAGCAAATTTTTCCAAGTAACAAAACGACAAACGTGAGACAGAACTGTCTAATGTCATACTGCGGAACATTCCGGGCGACACAACATCTCCATGGAGCGGTGTTGCATCACCTGCTCGTTTCCATGGAGATGTCTTTGAATATTCCACAGTCTGGCATTACCTTACATCTTTATTAAATTAGACGTGTTTTTATCGCTGACAAAACACATCTGCGCCAAATATGGGTCGCCTCTCCGCAGAAGCAGCTCGTAACTTGGCCTGGTGGTGTCGTGTCGCCTCGTTTCCGTGGAGATGCCAAGTTACGAGTCAGATCTGCGGAGAGACGGCCCCCGCTCGCATTAAGAACTATTTTTCACGAATTTTAAGTAGTAAAAAAAAAAACGACATCTGCAACTGAATAAACGTGACATAGGGGTGTCTAAAGTCGTACTGCGGAACATTCCAGGCGACTGAACATCTCCATGGAGACGAGCAGGAGGCTCCAGGACGGCCCTCCCCGGAAAAGCTGCATAGTGTCACTTTAAACGAAAACGGAAAATTGCTACTCGCGTCACAATTTGGAAGTCACTTTTTTGCTTAAATTTCCAAAACTTTAGTTATAAATTGTTTGAGAATTTCTGTAGATTTATTTTAAAGAGGGGGTATTTTACTTCTGTGGGGCATTAACTTCTCCCCGTGCTACTTCGCTCCCCCTTCAGAGCGCTATTAACACAATCACACTAATGAAACTACTGCACATCGCATCAGATTTGTCAAGTTGTTGTGCGCAGTTTCGTGTTAAGTTGTCACGTGGGAGAGTTTGAATAGGCCCCAAGAGAGATCCCTAAATGACTCAGACATGTTTTTGATGAGGGAACAACGTTAGAACACGGGAGAAAGCGCCAAGAAGTCACCCCCTCTTTAAATTTCGGACAGATTTGTTGCGCGAAGTTTTACAGTTTTACCAACTCAAAAGTGTGATTTCAACACAAAAAAATCTCTCAAATTTAAAAGGTGCACTGTGTAACTTTTAGATTGGGGGTCCTACACTTGCTTGTTTCCATGGATACGTCATTTTTCTGCCTGGAATGTTCCACAGTGTGACTTTAAACAGCTCTACTTCACATTTATTCAATTATAGGTGGTTTTAAACCTCAAAAATATCTAGAAAAACAGACGTTCTGACACAGATCTGACTTGTAACTTGGTGTGTTTTAGTCTCCGTGAAGATAAAAAGGTTTAATGCCGTACTGCGGAACATTCCAGACAATAAAGCAATAGCATCTCCATGGAGAAAAGCAAAGAATTTGAAGGATCCTCCACCAGAAAAGTTACAAAATGCACCTTTAAGTTAAAAAATAATCTTACAAAAGTGGTCTGAAATCATTCACAGTCAAAGTTTGGACAGTTCAGTTTTCGATACAAAACAAAAAATTCATACCCAGATTTGTTTTTGTTTACAGAATTTTACACAAAATTTAGCGATTTACGAATGACACTTTTTTGTGATTATCATTTTCTTCAAACACAATCACTTTACTGTCTTTCTTTTTTTTTCTTTTAAATATCTGGGTATGAAAATTTCTGGAAAACCCAAAAAAATATTATTGAAAATTTGGAACAGAAAATAATTTAGATCAATAAAAATAAATCTTTAAAACAGGTATTAAAAATCGTTTTGAAATAATGGCACAGCTCCAAGCCTCGTAACACACGGACAGGGGACATTGCACTAAAATTTAAATAACAACAATAGAGTTTTGGCAGCTGCGATTGGCTAAAAATTGTTTGAAATGTGAAAGGAGAAATTAAAGAGCTCAGATTCCGCTTTTTTTTAATGTTATAATATCGTTTCCACGTCAGAAAAACAGACCTGGATTTGTGTTTTGTTTCATTCACACAAGTTTAACACAAAAAACTCTGCAGATTTAAGTTCTTCTTCACTGTGTTTTAACTCGAAAACTACCACTTTATGACATCACAAGTTGAAGCAGAGCGTTTTGAGCTTTGGAGATGTAGAAAAACTAGAAATAAACTGTCACTAAAACATGTGTAAATGAAAAAAAAAAACACAAATCCAGGTCTTTTTTTGAGGAAGGAAACAACATTTTAACACGACTTTAAAGCTCCAAAAAGTCAATTTTTCGCGTAATATCGAACCTTTAATTTACATTTTTAATACTGAATTTCGTGGAGATTTTGGCCGAAGTGGGCGAGGGGGAGAGGTGAGGTAGTGGAGGATGACACAAATATAAAACATTTCGATAAAAAGAAGAAGAAGAAAAAAAAAAGGATTTGAGTTTGAAGGTTTGATAAACAGTCGACCGTTTGCTGAGACGCCAAAACTCCAAAATTACTACAATTGCGTTTTTCGTTTAGATTAACCGGTGTTATTTGGATTTAAAGCTGCACTGCGTAACTTTTCCGCCAGGGGATTGTCTACCTGGTTGTCTCCATGGCGACGCTGTTCATTGCATTGCCAGTAATGTCCCGCAGTATGGCATTACACCGATCCGTTTCGCGTCTATTCAAAAACGGTTGTGCGTTTAAAAAAAAAAATCTCGACGTTGAAAAGCATGCACTCTTACTGTCAGTAGCTCAGAGTTTAGTAATGCCGTACTGCGGAACATTCCAGGCAAAGATCCTTCACTGGAAAAGTGACAGAGTGTAGCTTTAATATCGTTTCTTCTTGTTGAAACGGAGCAAAGGATCATGGTCTACGTAGTCCCCACTGCTTTTGAACACTGTCACTTTAATTTTGCGCATTATTTCGAGTTTTTTTTCCGTCAAATTCTAAATCCGATGTTACGTAATGATTGTTTCTCTTTAAAGGCGCGCTGCGTAGCTTTTCTGGTCTCCGTGGAGATGTTATTGCTCTGTCTGGAATGTCCCGGTGTGGCATTAAGTCGTATCCATCTTGCCTTTTTTACTCATAACTTCAAAATCTGCTTTCTGACCGCGACTGTGAGTGGACTCGCCTCTCCACAGATCTGACCTGTCACTTGGCTTTACTGTGTTGTCACCTGCTGTCTCCATAGAGATAAGTAAGCGTAATGCCATACTCTGGAACATTCCAGCCAACCCTCTACAAGAAAAGCTTAAACAGCTCACCTTTACTCGAGCAGTACTTTTCCCAAATACTTTTTTACTTTTATTAAGTAATTTCTTGGATCACTACTTGTTTGGGGTCCATCACCTGCTTGTTTCTATGGATACGTCGTTGCTCTGCCTGAAATGTTCCACAGTGTGACTTTAAACAGCTCTACTTTACAGATTTATTCAGTTACAGGTGGTTTTATAGCTCAAAAATACCTAGAAAAACAGAGGTTCTGACTCTGAGCGGGCTCGCCTCTCCCCAGATCTGACCTGTAACTTGGCCCTGTGGCGTTACCTGCCATCTCTGTAGAGATAAATAAGAGTAATGCCATACTGCGGAACATTCCAGGCAACATCTCCATGGAGAGAAGCTGGTGACGAACTCTCCACCGATAAAGTTACACAGCCTTTACTTCAGTAGTACTTTTCCCGAACACTACTTTTACTTGAGTAATTTCTTGGACCGCTACTTGGTTGGGGGCCTGTCACCTGCTTGTTTCTATGGATACGTCATTGCTCTGCCTGAAATGTCCCACAGTGTGACTTTAAAGAGCTCTACTTTACATATTTACTCAATTACAGGTGGTTTTATCGCTCAAAAATACCTAAAAAAAACACTAATTCTGACACAGATCTGACCTGTAACTCGGTCCGGTTTGGTCTCCATGACGACAGAAAGGGTTAATGCCACACTGTGAAACATACCAGACGAAGCAACTGACGAACCCTAAAGCGGAAAAGTTACACAACGCTCTTTTAAGTAACAATTTTCGACTCAGCAAAGGGTCGTCCGTTGTGCTCGTTTTGGCCTTTGTGCATCGACTAAAACGGATCACGGCACAGACATTTCTCGACGTCATAACCCACGTTTTCGACACTTTGACATCACGGACATGGCGTATACATTCATTTACACGAGTTTCGGGTGAATGACTGAAAAAGGAAAGAGGAGATTTTGTTTGTAGAGCTCAGAAAAAGTGCTTTAAACCGACGATTCCGCACTAAATCGACTAAAAAAAAAAAAAAAAAAAAAGTGCCAGAAGAACTCTCCCGTTTTCACCAGCCGCCGTCCGCCGTTCCTCCTCCGCCGCGTCTGTACAGTCCGAGGGAAGAGTCTGAAGACTTTTTAAAGTTTTCATAGCAAAAACAGAATATCTACAAAAGTAAAACGAAATATTGATCTTGATTTGAGCAGTTTTGACAAGTTTAAGTCCGTTTCAAGGTATGTTTTTGTTGTCAGACAGCAGAGCGTTCGCGTAGGAAATCTCCAAAATCTCCGACGTCAAATCCACAAATTTTATCCGTGATTGTTAATATTTTCTACGGGAGGGCATCTGGTGTAATAAATAACTGATTATAAACGAGTCAGAGCTCCTCAAATCAAGAAAAATCAGTCGTTTTTCCTCGTGTAGTTTGAGTTTTTGAGTTGTTGTTTTTTTTTTTTTGAGTTTCGTGGAAGACTCATCACTGGAGAACACAGTATTTCTTGTAGTCGGATTCGAAGTCTTCGTCCATGCTGCTCGTGTCGGCCATTTTCTTCCCGTCGATTTGCGGGAGGAACTGCGAGTAGTCGACGCCCTGCTGCTCGTAGAACAGGATGTAGGCGGAGTCCGTGTCCATCTCGCCCGAGTGCACTTCCTGCGGGGACGAGAAAAAGGACAAAGTCATCGTCACGTCGGTGTATTTTTGTTTTGCACAGCTCAAAAACGGATTCGTTAAAGGTGCACTGTGGAACTCTTTGCGGTTGGGCGTCCGTCAGCCTGCTTGTTTCTATGGATACGACATTGCTCTGCTTGGAATGTTCCACAGTGTGACATTAACAGCTCTACTTTACATTTATTCAATTACAGGTGCAGGTTTATCGCTCAAAAACACCTACAAAAACAGACATTGTGACCGTCGCCTCTCCACAGATCTGACCTGTAACTTGGCCCTGTGGTGTCACCTGCCGTCTCCGTAGAGATAAATAAGTGTAATGCCACACTGCGGAACATTCCTGGCAACATCTCCGTGGAGAGAAGCTGGTGACGGACTCTCCATGAGAAAAGTTACACAGCGAAACCTTTACTTCAATTGTGCTTTTCCCGAATACTTTTTTACTTTTACTTGAGTAATTTCTTGGATCTCTAATTGCTTGGGGGTCCGTCACCTGCTTGTTTCAATGGGTACATCATTGTTCTGCCTGAAATGTTCCGCAGTGTGACATTAAACAGCTCTACAATTACAGGTGCAGGTTTTATCGCTCAAAAACATCTACAAAAACAGACATTGTGACTGTGAGCGGCGTCGCCTCTCCAGAGATCTGACCTGTAACTTGGATCTGTGGTGTCAGCTGCTTTCTCCATAGAGATAAATAAGCGTAATGCCACACTGCGGAACATTCCAGGCAACATCTGCATGGAGAGAAGCTGGTGATGAACTCTCCATGAGAAAAGTTACACAGCGAAACCTTTACTTCAGTAGTGCTTTTCCCAAATACTTTTACTTGAGTAATTTCTTGGACTACTACTTGGCTGAGGGTCCGTCACCTGCTTGTTTCTATGGATACGACATTGCTCTGCTTGGAATGTTCCACAATGTGACTTTAAACAGCTCTACTTTACATTTATTCAATTACAGGTGCAGGTTTTATCGCTCAAAAACATCTACAAAAACAGACATTGTGACTGTGAGCGGCGTCGCCTCTCCACAGATCCGACCTGTAACTTGGCCCTGTGGTGTCACCTGCCGTCTTCGTAGAGATAAATAAGCGTAATGCCACACTGCGGAACATTCCTGGCAACATCTCCGTGGAGAGAAGCTGGTGACGGACTCTCCATGAGAAAAGTTACACAGCGAAACCTTTACTTCAGTAGTGCTTTTCCCAAATACTTTTCTCACCTTTACTCGAGTAATTTCTTGGATCTCTACTTCGTTGGGGGTCCGTCACCTGCTTGTTTCTATGGATACGTCATTGCTCTGCCTGGAATGTTCCGCAGTGTGACTTTAAACGGCTCTACTTTACATATTAATTCAGTTACAGGTAGTTTTATAGCTCAAAAATACCTTCGTTCTGGCTCCACAGATCTGACCTGTAACTTGGTCTGGTTTGATCTCCGTGACGATAGAAAGCTTTAATGCCACACTGTGAAACATTCCAGACAGTTACAGGTCAGATCTGTGGAGAGGCGACCCCGCTCAGAGTCAGAATGTCTGTTTTCTTGGTATTTTTGACTCTATACAACCACCTGTCACTGAATAAATGTAAAGTAGAGCTGTGTTAATGTCACACTGCGGAACATTCCAGGCAGAGCGATGACGTAGAAACAAGAAGACGACGCCCGCCCTGACCAGAAAGTTACACAGTGCACCTTTAAGACCCACTTTTACCCCCAAAAACGAGAGAACGACTTGTGACGGACACGGAAAGTTCTCAGCCGCGGAGGATAAATATAAAACACTTCACGACATCAGACAGAAACTTTACAATTCATCCAATCGACAATGAATAAATAAATAAATAAATAAATAATGTGAAAAGTTTCGTGTTTAAACGTGAGAATCCACAGAGGCTGGAGTCACAGGAGCAGATCTGTGTCTCCGGTGTAAACTGAAGCTTTACGTGTGCTCCTCTGTGTGTTTTGTTTTGTTGATTTTGTTTATTTATTCTTACTGATCTATTTTACGGTTTTATTTATTTGTTTTTATTTAATTAAACTGTACGGTGGCGTTACCTTGCAGCTGCTGTCGTTGTAGCAGTACCACTTCCCGTTGGGGTTTTTGGCGTACGTCACGTAATGGCCTCCTCCCATGATTCCTGAATGACACTGAACAAAAAACACACAAAAAAGTCAAAGTGTGTTTCAAGTATTTTTATGTCACACAATACATGTTTGTTAGTTCTATTTCAACCCAGCAGAGGGCGCAACTGTACAACAACTCAGCCTTATGTAACAGATAATACTCCCTACAACTGTACAACAACTCAGCCTTATGTAACAGATAATACTCCCTACAACTGTACAACAACTCAGTCTTATATAACAGTTAATACTCCCTACAACTGTACAACATGTAACAAATAATACTACCTACAACTGAACAACTCACCCTTATATAACAGATAATACTCCCTACAACTGTACAACAACTTATCCTTATGTAGCAGATAATACTCCCTACAACTGTACAACATGTAACAAATAACCTTCTGTCTTGTTTCATCTCTGCCCAGTTTTTTTTTTACTGATATATATTTGTGTTACTATATTTCTATATTTTTTTACTTGTACATATATATTTATATAATTATTCCTTATTTGACACCTGTCTCTTTTTATTTTTACTACTTTTATTTTTGCTACCGTATTTTTCGGACTACAAGTCACACTTTTCTCACAGTTTAGGTGTTTCCTACGACTTATACTCCAGTGCGACTTAAGTACTGAAATATATAATTTCACATGTTTGTTATTTTCACACTGACAGCCACCAGAGGGCGCTCTACGCTTGTGTGCCAGTGTCTGTTACTCTTATTACTCCTGTACAACTGAATATTACAAGCTGCAAGTCATAAAATCTGCAGCTAAAAACAGAACTCAAGCAGGAGAAAGTTTGGAGTGAGAGAGAAACTTGTGAGGGACTGGAGAAAAGCGGAGGAGACTCGAACTGCAATGAAGAAAACAAAAAAAAGTTCATCGTGGGCTAAAAGCTCGATGACCACAGTTAGAGGAACAAGTTCACAAATGGGTGAACTTGTTCCTCTAACTGTGGTCACAACAACATGAACAACGTGCTGCGGGGAGAGGCTTGTCAAGTTACGTCTCCACGCAGCTGAAGGTGATGGAACATGAACGACTTTGAGCGACGACCTTCTTGGTGTTACCGCTTCATGCAACACAACCGCCTCCATCAGAGCACGGACGGCGATGCTCCAAAAACTGCCCACAGATTTCAGAGTCAAAGTCGACAGTTTGAAGTGTTGAAATGTTTATTCTTGTTCTCAGATTTTATAAAATTCCCCTAAAATGCACAACTTATATATTTTTTTTTCTTCTTCATTATGCGATTTGTGGCTGATGTGACTTATACTCCATAAAATATGGTATTTTGAATGCATTATTTATATTTTGACTCTTTGTTATTATATTATATTGTGATGTGTGAGCTGCTGTGTCCACATAAGTTTGTCTAAGTTGAAGTAAATTATTAACTGATTTACTCAAGGAAACATTTTACATCAAAAGTGTTGTAGTGGAGCTCCACAATCTGTGTGTCATTCGTTCATTTGTTTTTTAAAATTAAACCAAAAATAAGAAAACGACAAAACAACAGTTTTCTTCATTATTTGTCTCCAAAACCAAAATGAAAAAACAGATAATGAATATTTTTTTTAGGTTTAAATTTTGTGTTTAAATGAAAAATGAAAACAAACATTTCTTGTTTTATCCAATTTTGACTCTTACAGACTGAACCAGGACTAGACCAGGACTAGATCAGGACTAGACCAGGACTAAACCAGGACTAAACCAGGACTAAAACAAGACTAAACCAGGACTAGACCAGGACTAGACCAGGACTAAACCAGGACTAAAACAAGACTAAAACAAGACTAAACCAGGACTAGACCAGGACTAGACCAGGACTAGACCAGGACTAGACCAGGACTAGACCAGGACTAGACCAGGACTAAACCAGGACTAAAACAAGACTAAAACAAGACTAAAACAAGACTAAACCAGGACTAGACCAGGACTAGACCAGGACTAAACCAGGACTAACCAGGACTAGACCAGGACTAGACCAGGACTAGACCAGGACTAGACCAGGACTAAAACAAGACTAAACCAGGACTAGACCAGGACTAGACCAGACTAACCAGGACTAGACCAGGACTAGACCAGGACTAAAACAAGACTAAACCAGGACTAGACCAGGACTAGACCAGGACTAAACCAGGACTAAACCAGGACTAGACCAGGACTAAACCAGGACGACATCAGGACGACATCAGGACGACATCAGGACTGAACCAGGACTGAACCAGGACTGAACCAGGACTAAACCAGGACTAAACCAGGACTAAACCAGGACTAGACCAGGACTAAACCAGGACTAGACCAGGACTAGACCAGGACTAAACCAGGACTGAACCAGGACTGAACCAGGGCTAGACCAGGACTACAACAGGACTACACCAGGACTACACCAGGACTAAACCGGTCTCAGTCCTGGTCGCAGTTCCGATCGTCCGTCTACGCGGGTGCACCTCCGGGCCTGTCCTGACACTCCTGCTTCAGTCCTGCTTCAGTCCTGCTTCAGTCCTGCTTCAGTCCTGCTTCAGTCCTGCTTCAGTCCTGCTTCAGTCCTGCTTCAGTCCTGCTTCAGTCCTGCTTCAGTCCTGGTTCAGTCACAGTTTAAGTCACGTAAACGGGAAACGGTCGTTATCCGTTTTTTCCATTATTCATTTAAACATAAAATCGAAAACTGAAAAAACTAATCATTATCTTTTTTTTTTTTTTCATTTTGGTTTTGGAGACAAATAATAAATAAAATAGTTGTTTTTTCGTTTTCTTAATTTTGGTTTTATTTTGAAAAATGAATGATACACAGATTCTCCACTCATCCAGGACTCATAGAACCATAGTTACATGTGTGACTATCGATTTAACATTTACTGAAGTTTAAGTTTGAGTAGAAGAGTCGTATTTGTGGGTCTGGTCCTGAAGTACTCACAGATATTGCATAGAGGTTGTAGATGGCCTCCAGCCCCAGGTCCCGGGTCAGGTCCTGGTCTAAGCTGCTCTCAGTGCTGCAGTCCGAGTTCAGTCCGTTTCCGTTCATTAAAACCACGTCACAGTGAGAAGCGTCGGTCACAGCAGAAGACTCCGACGCCAGGAGCTCCGACGACCCACACAGTCCAGACCCGCTCTGCTCCGGTCCGCTCTGCTCCGGCCCGTCTCCGTCCACCCCCTCCCCCGCCCCGGGCTGTGGCTGCTGGCTCCCCTCGCTGCAGACACAAGAGAAAGTACAGGTACATTTACTTGAGTAACTTTTTAACTTTTATGGAGCATTAACTGGGAACACGTCACATATTTATTTTATCATCACGTTCTTTTTATGGTTTTGAAAATGCAACGTACACCGAAAACAACGTAATAACATGTTTTATAACTTCCACTTGCGCTTCTATGAATACGCCATCGCTCTGCCCGGAATGTTCCACGGTGTGACTTTAAACACTTTACATTTATTCAATTACAGGTGCAGGTTTTACAGCTCAAGAACAGCTAGAAAAACAGGCTTTCTGACTGTGAGCGGCGTCGCCTCTCCACAGATCTGACCTATAACTTGGCCCTGCGGTGTCACCTGCGGTCTTAAGAGTAATGCCGTACTGTGGAACATTCCAGGCAACATCTCCGTGGAGAGAAGCGAAGCGAACCTTTACTTCAGTAGTGTTATTCCCGAATACTTTTTTACTTTTACTTGAGTGATTTATTGGATCACTACTCGGTTGGGGGTCCGTCACGTGTTTGTTTCTATGGATACGTCATTGCTCTGCCTGAAATGTTCCGCAGTGTGACTTTAAAGAGCTCTACTTTACATATTTATTCAGTTACAGGTGGTTTTATGGCTCAAAAAAGAAAGGAAAGTTTTAATGCCATAACAACGTATTAACATGTTTTATAACTTCCACTTGCGCTTCATCTCACCCTTTGCTCTCCGCACTAAGTCACTCCCCCTTCAGAGCGTTATCACAACACAATCAGTGCGCAAACAACTAAAGAAACTACTGCACATCACATTAGATTTGTGAAGTTGTGGTGTCTCTGAAATTTTATGATTTAGTCGAACTTTACACTCTGAAAATCATGTTCAAAGTAAAACAACAATCTCCTGTCAAAATCTTTACAGAACATGTTCAAAATCCGAAAGAGCCGATATGAGCTCAGAGGCACGGCCACGTTTATCAAAAAGAAAATCAGAACAAACATTATGAAATTTTGTAAATCTCTTAAAGGGGCTGGAGCTCTGGAACAACTGTACAGAAAACCTAAAACTCTTTCACTTTATAAAGAAGTTTAAATGTTTAACTCTGGACAGATACATGAAATATGAGACTTAGTTTGTGCTGTAGGACTTTGTTGTTCTGTTTCTGATTTGTTTGTTTCCTTTTGCTGTATTTATGAAGATGAACTGGTGTTAAAATGACACTCTGATAAAGGAATAAAGGGGCAGAATAAGCTCAAGCTTCAGCCGATACCTTTTCGGTCTGTGTATGTTAAATATGACTGTCTGTGAATTAATGTCAGAATGTACCTGTGACCGAAATAAAAAATAAATAAATAAAATGTATTTTTTGTAGCATGTTTTTGTAAATTTATTATTCATGCAGCAAAAACCTGGAACAGTTTTCTTGAACATGTGAGACAGACTCTACTTTCATTTTTCATTCTACACTCTTCTCTCTAATTTAATGTCTCTCTCCTTTAAATTTTATGATGATTATTTATGTTTTGATTTGTTTTTATTGTAACTTTAATGTATTTCTTATTCTGTAAAGCACTGTAAATTACTTTGTGTATGAATTGTGCTGTACAGATAAACTTGTCTTGCCTTTATTAGTGTTGTTCCGATACAATTTTTTTGGGATCTGGTCCGATACGGATACTTGGCCTTGGTGTACTCGCCGATAACGATACGAGTCAAATAACAGTGTGAAGAAGTGCACTTAGGCTACTTACTTTTTTAACATACAAGAGCAAAAAATTAATCTTCTAAAAGGCTATTTTTAAAGAAATGTAAGAAGAAATAAGATTTTCAAGAAAACATTGGTGAAATGTTTAATGATCTTGACGTAAGCAGTGCTGATTTAAGCTGATTTAAAATGATTCAAGCATTTTCACTTTCTACCAGAGTGCTGAAAAAACCTTGCCAGACTGGAACCACCTAGTGCCTCCGCTCAATTTCTTTTCTCTCCAGCGACTAGGTCAGGAATCGGGATACACTAGACGTTTTGCAAAAACCCCGGAACTGCGAGTTTGGGCACCAGCCAATCAGCAAAGAGCCAGACATTCCGTGTTGGCAACGTTTCCCGAAATTGAGCATTTAAAGCCGAAATAAAGAGAATGTTTGGTGAATTTTATCAAGGGGAAAGATGTTATTGTCCTTCTTCCTACGGGATCCGGTGCTTTACATCCGTCACGACCAAATAACAGCGATTGGTTAAATAAAAAAGTACCCGCCTACCATAGACTGAATGAATCCTAATGCTGTGAGGTCACACGGATTCTACCAAGTGAAACCGACTGATGAATCAGGCCAGATAAAACCAACAGTGAGGCCTGTAAAAAGAGGCTCATCCTCAGAGCAAAGGGCGAATTATGAGAGTAAACAAAGTCCGAGTTAACGCTGTTGTTGCTGCTGCTGTTATCAGGCTGCACTCACCCAGTTATTTTACCAAGTGTTGAAGAGAAGAGCGTCGAAACCAAAGACTAAATGAAGGTGTCAAAGAGGAAACACAAATGTCTTTCCTGTTATTATAAGTGTTTAAGCCTCCACAGTCTATTTAACCTGCTCTGTGCTGTTAAAAGCAGCCACACTCGCATCTACAGGTCCTCATTCAGGAAAATAAAGAGTAGTATTGGATCGGTGATTTGGTCTGAGTACTCGCCGATACCGATACCTGAAAAATGTGTGGTATCGGAGCTTTTGTCCATGCTGGTATCGTATCAGAACAACCCTGATATAGGCTTGTGGGCAGAGCCTTGGACAAATCTTACAGCTAACCATAAGGAAGGTTCTAACAGGGCCCAGGAGAGATCGCTAAATTACTTAAACCTGCAGGGATGAAGTCTAAATCTAAATCTTGAGTCCAGAGTTTGGCTCACCTCTGGCTGCAGGTCTGAGGCTGCAGGGTCCCCTCGGCGCAGGTCTCCGCGTGGATGTTCTCTTTGCTGTTGGAGCAGAGTCGGTGTTTGGAGCCGAGCTGAGGCAGCCGCAGTCGACCGGGGCGACGGGCTCCGGCCTTGGGGCTCCCCGAGGGGCTGCTGCTCCGGCTCAGAGACGGAGCGGACTTTCGACTGGAGCACGGAGACGCTGAGGAGAAACGCAGAGGTTAAAGGTCACAAATGTACACAACTCTGTCCGCTCTAGTCACTGATACGCCTCAGGTCTCTTCCACCAAACTGATGCCAGTGCCCATTTCAAATCCTCCCTCCTGGTGCTGAAAACTGGCTCTGACTCAGCCCCAGAAACAGCAGGGCCAGAACTGGTTTTGGTGGAATATTAAACATAACAGTTATACTTTACAGCACATAATAAAAATAAAAGTTATGAAGATAAAACAAAACCAACACAAAAAACTAGGGAGCAGTTGAGCAGTTAGGAGAAAAAACAACAACAACAACAAATGCTAACTGCTAGTGCGAGCTAATAAATAATGTGTTACAAAGAGTAGCTCTTGTTTGGTGGAAAACCAGGCCGACACACACAGAACCAGCACCAGGACCAACCCAGAACAAGCTCTGAACCAGCACAGAAACAGATTTAGGTCAAAATGAGTAGTAAAAATGTTCATAAACTCATGAACTGTTTGAAATGAACTAGTTCTGTTTTTAAGATTGTAAAAATCAGGTACAGCGCCTTTACGAAGCACTATGCACCTTTTCTCACACAGACCCATAACACAGACCCGCAGCACAGACCCGCAGCACAGACCCGCAGCACAGACCCGCAGCACAGACCCGCAGCACAGACCCGCAGCACAGACCCGCAGCACAGACCCGCAGCACAGACCCGGAGCACAGACCCGGAGCACAGACCCAGAGCACAGACCCGCAGCACAGACCCGCAGCACAGACCCGGAGCACAGACCCGGACACAGACCCGCAGCACAGACCCGCAGCACAGACCCGGAGCACAGACCCGGAGCACAGACCCGCAGCACAGACCCGCAGCACAGACCCGCAGCACAGACCCGCAGCACAGACCCGCAGCACAGACCCGGAGCACAGACCCGTAGCACAGACCCGCAGCACAGACCCGCAGCACAGACCCGCAGCACAGACCCGCAGCACAGACTCCTGGTGCGTTTGTTTATCCGTCCATCTCCCGCTCCAATCTCAGATATGACGTCACGTTCACACTTCAAGAGTTTTATTATCTTTTTTGCATACACTGTATATCTGGATGGACATAACTAATGCACTAGTCGCTCCTTTCCGGTTTCTTGTGTCCGACTTGGAGAAAAACGTAGATGCCACTTGGAAAGCTGTTGTTGTTGTTGTTTTATCTTCTGTTAGAGACTCTGAGGACATTTAGTAACACCTGTTTAAAACAAATCTGTGTTCAATATTAGCCTCAACACAACACCGACCACCACAACACCGACCACCACAGCTACAGGCAAGTAACACAGATGTAGTAAAGTACTGCAGTGATACGAGTCATTGAAATGGTCATTTAAACCACCAAAGCTTCAAACAAAATGAAAACAGTTCATATTTAAAAGTGACACTGGGCACAGTCTCTTGGATTTTATCTCGGAATCTTTGCTTGGTCTAATCTGAGTTGTTTCAAGTTCCGATTTGCACCTTCAGAGGAAAAGGGGCGTGTCAGTCGCTAGGCAACGTTCTCAGACCTCCAAGTCGGATGAACAAACGAACGCACCATCAGATTGGTAGCACAGGCTCAGACTCGTACCTTTGTGCAGGTTGTTGAAGCCGGCCGGGGCGGAGATGGACGACAGGTTGTCTTCTCCTACTCTGAGCAGGTCGTCGCTCTCGCTGCGGGAGTAGGGACAGTGCTGCCCACGTTCCCTCGGAGCCAGAAACGCACTGGGGTCAAACTTCTCTCGGGGAAACTTCACGATCTTCTGAGACTTTATCCACCGACCGTTCACAAACTGGAAACGCTTCAAGTGGACGATCTGTGGAGAGGGAAAAAACACAACAAGAATGAGCAAAACAACAAAACCAAGGAACGCAGAGGTAATAATAGCAGTAGTAGTAGTAGTAGTACTCACCAGTATAGGGGGTAGTCTCCACAGGTCCAGTTTCTTGGTGGCGAGTCTGTGAGTTTTACACTTGGAGCAGTAGTAGAGTTCGTCCTCTCCCAGCTCCTCCTCTGAGGTGAAGGCTCTGAGGCAGCTGTCCAGAGAGATGGGCTCAGCCTGGGCCCTGCGAGACTGTTCCACACTGCTGTGCTCCTCCACGATCTGCACCACACAAACACAGTCACACCAATAACCAACGCAGCTGGTCACAGTTTACCAGGGATACATCAATAACACTTTTTTGAAAACCAATACGAGTACGAGTATAATCATTTCTGTACTTGCCGATACTGAGTACTGACACCGATACTTTGGATGGAGAGAATGAGCAGAGCAACACAGGTTCAGGAGTCCAGCATCACTCATGCCCGGAATCACATTTCTTGTGTTGTCGTGGAGGACAACTAACCTGATTCATCAGTCGGTTTCACTTAGTGGAAACTGTCGGACCTCGCAGCATTAGAATTTGTTTGCTTGACGGTACGCGGATACTTTTTTTATTTAACCAATCGCTGCCGTTTGGTCGTGACATATGTAATGCACCGCTAACGGGGCGAAGAAGAGCAATAATGTCTTTCCACTTGATAAAATTCACCAAACATTCTCTTTGTTCCGGCTTTAAATCCTCAATGTCGGGAATCGTTGCCAAAACAGAATGTCTGTCTCTTCACTGATTGGCTGGTGCCCAAACTCACACTTCAGGGGTTCTTACAACCTGCCTAGTGTATTCTGATTCCTGATCTAGTCGCTAGAGAGAAATGAAATTGAGTGGAGGCAGTAGGTGGCTTCATGTGGAGTACGACTTGATGACACACAAACGCCTTATCTATCCACTGTCAAACTTAAGAGGGACATTAGTCGTGAAGCTTATTGACTCGATGTCATGAAGCACTGACCTAACGTGAGTTTTCACAGCATCAGACACTTTAGGTAACATTACATCTGTGATGTAGCGATGGCCAGGCAGCTCTAGAACATCTATAAGATGCTGAAACTCAATATCGTTGATCACTCAAAGTAACTGGTCATCCAGTACAATGACGGGACATGGCGGTGCCTGGCGCTGCCAGGTCAGGGCGGGGCTGAGAAGGGCTCCTCACGTACTGCCCATAGACGCCAGTGTCTGCACTCATCACGTAATAACCTGCATCTGACTCATTGGCAGCCATTAGTTCAACCCGGAAACTCAAATGTCTTGACTGTAGTTGATCATAAAGACGCCGATACAGACACGACCTTTGACCCAAAAGTCAGATTTTCAACAAATCTGCACTAAAATGCCAAAATAAGACCAGGGATAGAAATACACTTCTATTTTAGACACAGAGTCTTACACAGAGAAAAAGTGATTTTGGTGTTTAGTGGCTCTTTAAAGCATAAAAGTTGCTTAATACGTCAATAGCATATGATGAAAATGACAAAATTTTTGTCATTTTTAAAACTCTACCAACACAAAAACACCAATCACAACACAATATATAAATACATAAAGTCAATTATTAATGATTTTGGTGTTTAGTGGCTCTTTTAAAACAAACAAAACAGTAATAACGGTCTATAGAGCGTATAAGCATTTCCTCCAGTGCCTCCAGAGTTTGGAAATGAACCTGACATTGCTCTGCTCAGGCTTTATCAAAACATTTATAATTTCATTTTGTGAGTCCTTGAGGCTCTTCATAAACTTGTGTACAAAGTTTCTGATCGCAGACAATATTCTGCACAAACGGCAAACTGGAACTTTCAGCGAGATACGAAGTGCCTCATTATACACGACCTGCAGCTTCTTAAATTTAGTTTTCCCGTAACTGCACCAAAAGAAGAGGGAGGTACTGTAGATAAAAACTCTTGAGGATAATAGAAGTATGTGAAGTATCTGACCCTCTCCTGGGAGGTCTGGTAGCGCAGGTGCAGGGCGGTGGGGTCCCAGTCCACGGCGATGTAGGCGTTCCCCACAGACGCCCGCTCCTCCGTGCACTCGATGGTACAGCCTCTGCAAAACCTGGAGAAAAACACACGGAAAAGTCATGCGGGATTTTAAATGTAGTGTTTTTTCCATTCCATAAATTCCTCATTAGATTAAAGAGGACATTTGCATCTTCAGTTTTCTGTTGCTGGCCTTGAGTTCTCACCTGTACCACGGACACCAGGCGCACGAGTTCCCGTCTTTGCCCACGACCCTCAGAGTGAAGGGATACTGGTAGCCCATACTGTCATCACTGAAAACACACAGAAAACGCACAAATAAATACACACTTTTAATTTTTGTGGTCACGGGGTCAATAATTCGTAAATAAATAATTTAAAATGTCCTTTGTGTAACTTTTCTCGTGGAGGGTCTGTGTTAAGCCTTTATATACTAAACCAGACCAAGTTACAGGTCAGATCTGTGGAGAGGCGACCCCGCTCACAGTCAGAATGTCTGGTTTTTTGGGGTTTTTTTGAGCTATAAAACCACCTCTAATTGAATAAATGTAAAGTAGAGCTGTTTAATGTCACACTGTGGAACATTCCAGGCAGAGCGAATGACGTATCCAAGACAAAAAGTAACAGTAACAGCTTTAACACGAGAATCTGTTGACATCCAGACATTAGAAGCACACGGATCTGCTGTCTGTCTCTCTCTCTGTCTGTGTGTCTCTGTCTGTGTGTCTCTGTCTGTCTGTGTCTCTGTCTCTCTCTCTCTGTCTGTGTGTCTCTGTCTGTGTGTCTCTGTCTGTGTGTCTCTGTCTGTGTGTCTCTGTCTGTGTCTCTCTCTCTCTCTCTCTCTCTGTCTGTGTGTCTGTCTCTGTGTGTCTCTGTCTGTCTCTCTGTCTGTCTGTCTGTCTGTCTCTCTCTCTGTGTGTCTCTCTGTCTCTCTGTCTCTGTCTCTCTGTCTGTCTGTCTGTGTCTCTCTCTGTCTGTGTCTCTCTCTGTCTGTGTCTCTCTGTCTGTCTCTGTCTCTCTGTCTGTGTGTCTCTCTCTGTCTGTGTGTCTCTCTCTGTCTGTCTGTGTCTCTCTCTGTGTGTCTCTCTCTCTGTCTGTGTGTCTCTCTCTGTCTGTCTGTGTGTCTCTGTCTGTGTGTCTCTCTCTCTGTCTGTCTGTCTCTCTCTCTCTCTCTGTCTGTGTCTGTCTGTCTCTCTCTCTCTGTCTGTGTCTGTCTGTGTCTTCTCTGTCTGTCTGTCTCTCTGTCTGTTGTCTCTGTGTCTCTCTGTCTGTGTGTCTCTGTCTGTGTCTCTCACTGTCTGTCTGTGTCTCTCTGTCTGTGTCTCTCTCTCTCTCTCTGTCTGTCTTTCTGTCTGTCTGTCTCTCTCTCTGTGTGTCTCTGTCTGTGTGTCTTTGTGTGTGTGTCTCTCTCTCTGTCTGTTTCTGTCTCTCTCTGTGTTTTTCTCTGTGTGTGTGTCTCTCTCTCTCTCTCTGTCTGTGTGTCTTTCTGTGTGTGGCTCTCTGTCTGTCTCTCTTTGTATCTGTCTATGTCTGTGTCTCTCTCTATCTGTCAGTCTGTGTTTCTGTCTGTCCATGTCTCTGTCTCTGTTTCTGTGTCTCTGTATGTCTCTTTGTCTCTCTATGTCTGTCTCTGTCTCTCTCTCTCTCTTTGTGTCTGTGTCCGTGTTAAGCCTCTGAGTCCTGACCCAGTTTCACACCGAGGTCTCTTCAGGACACGTGGATCGTTCTTTCATTACAGGATCTGATGTCTGTAGATGTGAGAGAGCTGAGGTCAGTCTGACTCAGCGATACGGCCTCCACTATTTACACCAGCGGCAACACCAGGGGGCGACAGCACCACGTAAAACACCCAATGCACCTTCAAAGCTCCTCCAACCAAAACATTTCTGGCACCGCTCCTGACTGTATATGTCAAATAAAGTAAAATAAGGGCTATACAGTGTGGAATTTGCATTTTCACACTGTGCCTCTGTAGGTTCTGGTTTCTCCTAATGCTAAAAACATGAACAATATCTCAGCAATACATGATAATAAATAAATGTCAAGTATTATACTGTATTTTCTGCACTATTAGTCACTCTGGATTATAAGGCGCACTGTCATTAAATGGTCTATTTTCAAACTTTTTCACAAATAAACCGCGTGGGACTTTAAATGAAACCCAACAGTGTGATGGGTGAGTGGTTTTGTTTGTTTGTTCGTTCACGGTGACTCTGGGCTTTGTTCAGTTGTGGCGTGTAGGGAGGGTGTGTCTGGGACCAGCGGATTGTCGGCGTGTTCGCAGTGACTCAGTTGTTCAGTCGTGTCTAGAAGCGGCACATTGCGCTCGCTTTTTTCGGTTCGTTCCTCCGTTCCGTTCCTCGTCGGCGTGGAGTGATGAGTGTGTCTGTGGGTGTGTTTCTCTGTGCGGTCGCTGTCTGCTCCGTGTGTGTTTGTGGCTTTGTAGTTTACTGAAGTCGTACTGGGACACCTGAGTGGATTCGTGTATAGGGCGCTCTGGATTGTGACGCGCGGTCGTTTTTTGACAGGGTTGGAGACTTAAGAGCGCGTTTAATACTGCAGAATATACGGTATATATGTTACGTGTGCACTAATCATGTAAAAAAAAAAAAGGCTGTATTATTAGGAGTCATTCCAAATCCGAGTATCGTTCGTTCATTCGTTTTTCAATATAAAACCAAAAATAAGAAAAGGAAAAAACAACTGTTTTCTTCATTATTTTTCACCAAAACCAAAATGAAAAAATGGATAATGGTCCCGGTCTTAGTCTCTCTCTGGTCCCAGTCTGGTTCCGACCTGAGTCCTGATCTCAGTCTCGGTCTGGTCCCTGGTCTCAGTTCTGATCTCAGTCTCGGTCTGGTCCCGGTCTCAGTCCCGGATCTGGATCAGTCCTGGTTCAGTCCGACATCGCAGTCACTGAAGTCACGTAAACGGGAAACGGCCGTTATCTGTTTTTTCCATTTTTCATTTTAACACAAAATCAAAAACTGAAAAAATGCATCATTATCTGTTTTTTTCATTTTGGTTTTGGAGACAAATAATGAAGAAAACTGTTGTTTTTTTCATTTTCTTATTTTTGGTTTTATATTGAAAAACAAATGAACGAATGACACACGGATTATTCCAGTCTTGTGCTGTTGAAGTTTTCTCTGAATTGAGTGAAAGTTTAAGTTTTATCGGTCGTACCAGTCTTGTGCGTGGTTGGAGTTTTGGTTGTGTTGAGTGAGTTTTAGTTTTAGTTTTAGTTTTATCGGTCGTACCAGTCTTGTGCGTGGTTGGAAGCCTCTTGCGGGGGCAGAGGGGAGGCGAGCCGTGAGACTTGGACCCACACGGCGTCGTGAAGGTCTTTTTTACTCGTGTGAACGGTGCAGGGGACGATCAGGGGCATCCCAAACAGAGAGGGACGGTTCTTCTGAGACGACAGGAAGTACAAGTCCGAACGCATCTGCAACACAAACACAAACAGAAACAGGATCAAGGGTTTGTGTTTACAGTTCAGAATATGAATATTGTCTGGTTTCTGAAAATATCAAATGAATGAAAGTCCTGGTTCAAGTCCTGGTTCAAGTCCTTGTTCAAGTCCTAGTTCAAATAGTGGTTCAAGTAGTGGTTCAGACCTGGTTCAGACCTGGTCCAGACCTGGTTCAAGTCCTGGTTCAAATAGTGGTTCAAATAGTGGTTCAAACAGTGGTTCAAGTCCAGGTTCAAGTCCAGGTTCAAGTCCAGGTTCAAGTCCAGGTTCAAGTCCAGGTTCAAGTCCAGGTTCCGTCAGGGTTCAGTGCTGGTTCAGTCTTACTTCAGCCCGGATTTAGTCCTCGTACAGTCCCTAGTTCAGATATGGTCCAGTCCTGGTTGAAGTCCTGGTTCGAGTCCTGGTTCGAGCAATGGTTCAAGTCCTGCTCCAATCTTGCTTCAGTCCTATTTCAGCCCTGGTTTAGTCCTGGTCTAATCCTGGTCTAGCCCTGGTTTAGTCCTGCTTTAGTCCCGGTCCAGTCCTGGTTTAGACCCGGTCCAGTCCTGGTTTAGACCAGGTCCAGTCCTGGTTTAGACCCGGTCCAGTCCTGGTTTGTTCCTCGTCCAGTCCTGGTCGAGTTCTGGTTCAGTCCTGTTCCAGTCCAGCTTTAGTCCTGATTTAGTGCTGCTTCAGCCCTGGTTTAGTCCTAGGCCAGTCCAGCTTCAGACCTGGTCCAGTCCTGGTCCAGTCCTGGTCCAGTCCTGGTCCAGTCCTGGTCCAGTCCTGGTCCAGTCCTGGTCCAGTCCTGGTCCAGTCCTCGTACCATCTTCCTGTGCATGGCGATGATGTATCCGGTGAAGGGGCTCTCCTGGACGGGGGTGAGGTGTCCGTTGGCGTCTCCGTTCACCAGCGGCGTCTCCGGGCTGGACAGAGACACGGACCCGGGGCCTCCGTTTGGGATCAGGAGCCCGTTCAGCGCCGAGCCGTTCGCGATGGGAGTGATGTCTGTGAGAGAAACACAAAAAAAATACAAGAAAACACTGAGAAATTATCATAGGTCGATTAATTTAGGTCGATTTTTGACAATTTGCAGCTGATGTCATCCACAGCCAACTGGAGGCACTGCTCCGTCTGAAGCTCTGTTACTCAAGTTAGAATTTAATCTGAGTTTTGTTTTAACACAATTTGACCATGGAGAACAGTTTAAGTCCATCCACACTAGTTCGTATTCGAGTGGTTTTCGTTGTGGATGCAGTGTTCGTTCGCACTAATCTGATGGAAAACGGCTCCAGAGACGGAACGATCTGGTGTCTCCAGCTCCCACGAATTCATCAGAGTACAGATCTGAACCGGCACCGTGTGGACTCCTGAAAACACTGATACTCTGATGTAGGAGCTCTAGTCACGTCCTTATTGAACCACGTCACTGTGACACTCTCCTTCCTGATTCTCTGGGTTCGCGACATCGGTCATGTGACGATATTGCGGAAAACAGTTTAAACAAACCAGAGACAAACGGGAAACAGCGGAACTAGTTGGTCCACGAAAGACTGTTTTGACACTCTTCCTCGGCTAAAAATCGGCTGCTACAACTTCAGACACGGTTACCAGAACACCCCTCAGTCACAGAAAGAACACTCATATTCCACTGAGTCGTGTCCTTTAGTCCGACACAAACTGAACCACATCAGCGACACGAGGAAAGAGCTGTTTTTATCAACGCTTAGTTTATGCAAATGAGTCATGTGGTTTTAAGTTTCGTTTCTGTAAAACATAAACAAATGTGCTTAACGCTGTTTGGATAGGGAAGGTTTGCAAACACAGAAACGACATGTTTGAATGAAAATTGTTTCCGATACGGTGATTCGTTTCAGTATAAATGTAATCTTAGCTGGAACTACAACAGGTGAGAGGATTTGTGCTGTTAAACAAATCTCTTACACATAAAATTAGTCACAGTTTCACCTTTTTATTGAAAATCAAACTCCTACACATGACCATGACGCTCGGACTGATCACAGGAAAATGAAAATGTGCTGTTTAAATCAATTTTGTATTTCTTCTTAAGTTTTCATATTCTATCTTTTTTGACAGTGGCCACATTTACATGATGTTTGTTTTTTTATTCCAAATTAATTGTTCTGAAATAAAGAGTTCTGAATTAAAATATTCTCCTTCGGGTTTACATGGAAATAGTAATTCTGAATTGAGGTTCACACAGAAAACATGTTAAATCGTCTTTATTTAATTCCACTCAACGTCTGGGTGACACGAACGTATTTACATCGACTGGAGAAAACACACACCAAACGACCGTTGTTCCTTCACGCTAAATACAACTTTGACAGAGTAAAACGGTTTAGGAGAAACATCTAGAACAGACACGTCAAACTCAGCCCCGGGGCCAAATTTGGCTCGCGATATAATTATATTTGTCCCGTGAGATCATGTCAAATCTGTATTAGAGCTGCCCGCTGGCTACAGATCCACTATACAGACATGATTTATTTAAGATGTTATTATTTTATATTATGTTTGTTCTGGATTCAATGTTTAAAGCAAAACTATTATTAAACATTTATTTTAATAAGAAAAGGTTTAACATTACAAATCTTGAAAGAAAAGAAAACATGCAGATGTTGTTGCACTTTTTCAATAAATACCGTATTTTCCGCACTATAGGGTATATCTGGATTATAAGACGCACTGTCATTAAATGGTCTATTTTCGAACAATTTTCACAAATAAACCGCGTGGGACTTTAAATGAAACCCAACAGTGTGATGGGTGAGTGGTTTTGTTTGTTTGTTCGTTCACGGTGACTCTGGGCTTTGTTCAGTTGTGGCGTGTAGGGAGGGTGTGTCTGGGACCAACGGATTGTCGGCGTGTTCGCAGTGACTCAGTTGTTCAGTCGTGTCTAGAAGCGGCACATTGCGCTCGCTTTTTCGGTTCGTTCCTCCGTTCCGTTCCTCGTCGGCGTGGAGTGATGAGTGTGTCTGTGGGTGTGTTTCTCTGTGCGGTCGCTGTCTGCTCCGTGTGTGTTTGTGGCTTTGTAGTTTGTAGTTTACTGAAGTCGTACTGGGACACCTGAGTGGATTTGTGTATAGGCGTTTTTTGATGGGGTTGGAGGTTTAAGAGCGCGTCTAATAGCCCGGAAAATACGGTATTTAGTTTGGGCCACGACTTAGTCCCAGTTTTTAATTTTGGCCTCTGTGAATTTGAGTTTGACACTTCTGGCCTAATGTATCAAATATGATACATTTTTTATTTATAAAATTATCCATCCATCCATTTTCGTCCGCTTATCCGGGGCCGGGTCGCGGGGGAGCAGCCTAAGCAGAGACTCCCAGACTTCCTTCACCCCAGACACGTCCTCCAGCTCCTCCGGGGGGACCCTGAGGTGTTCCCAGGCCAGCCGAGAGACATAGTCCCTCCAGCGTGTCCTGGGTCTTCCCCGGGGCCTCCTCCCGGTGGGACATGCCCAGAACACCTCCCCAGGGAGGCGCCCAGGAGGCATCCGGAACAGATGCCCGAGCCTCAACTGGCTCCTCTCAACGTGGAGGAGCAGCGGCTCTACTCCGAGCTCCTCCCGTGTGACTGAGCTCCTCACCCTGTCTCTAAGGGAGCGCCCAGCCACCCTGCGGAGGAAACTCATTTCGAGCGCTTGTATCCGCGATCTCGTCCTTTCGGTCATTACCCAGAGCTCATGACCAGAGGTGAGAGTAGGAGAGTAGGAACGGTAAAGACTTCGCCTTTCGGCTCAGCTCCTCTTCACCACAACGGTCCGATACAGCGACCGCATCACTGCAGACGCTGCACCTGTCCACCTGTCAATCTCACGTTCCGTCCTCCCCTCACTCCTGAACAAGACCCCGAGATACTTGAACTCCTCCACTTGAGGCAGAGACTCTCCACCCGCCTTTTTCCGGTCGAGAACCATGGCCTCAGACTTAGAAGAGCTGATCTTCATCCCAGCCGCTTCACACTCGGCTGCAAACCGCCCAAATGCACATTGCAGGTCCTGGTTCGCCTTTAGACTTTGGGGTTGAGGACGATCCTGGTGCGTCTGAAAAACACCCGTCTCCGCTCAGTCTGAAGCGGCTCGGTCTGTGCCCCTCCCTCAGTCTTTGTGAGGACTTTATCTGTGAGGAGTTCTGTATTGGAGCTCTGGGTCTTTGAAACCATCTGAAGTCCCTGCTCCTCAGACCTCTGCTCAGTCTTTAAATGATTCTGAAGGTCTCTGAGGTTCTGGAGCTCCACCTGGCGCCTGCTCCTCTGCTCCTCCAGCGTCTCCCTGGCCTCGGTCAACTCCCTCTGCAGGTGAGCGCCGTTCAGATCCTCCAGGCGAAGCTCCTTCCTCAGATCCTCAATGCTTTTTTCAGCTTGAGCTTTCTACCTTCTAAGAGTGATGTGTGGGCCTTGTATATGTCGCCCAAGTGGTTTTTAGATTAAGTTGGCGGTTTTTTTTTAACAAATTACAGCGTATTTCTGCCACCCTCCCACGTGACAATGAACTAAAGCTGCTACAACGATGACGCGTTTGACGTACTCCGCCCAAAACCCAAATTGTGCTTGTTTATGTGCAGAAGATACAATGTAAAAAGAGTTATTTTGCATGAGACGGGACCTTTAAATCTGTGAAAAGTGGCGTGTGGACTTGAGACTCACCGGTGAGCGTGGGGGAGCTCAGAGACGTGGGCGACCCGGGCACAGGGACCTCAAATGCGCACAGGAACCCGTTCACAGACATGCGCACCTTCTGATTGTCCAGAGGGAAGTTCTACAAACACCAGAAGAACACACAGGGTTACAGCGCCCCCTGCTGGTTCAACACGGAACACTCAGCCTGACTCTGGCCGGCTCATAGCAACAAAACAAAACAGATGGTTTGGGAACAACTAGCCTCTCATTTTTGATGCAGTCGATGCTTGATGTTGCTGTACCTTGATGTTGGACGAGTGCACTTCTGCCAGGAGGATCTGCTCAGGCTTCAGGTTGCACAGTTCACTCAGCTGTTTCTTCAGACCCGTGTATTTCTCGTCCATGTTCAACCTCAAACCGAACCGAACCGGAGTCGAACCGTCCAACTTTATCACTGAAAACAACAACAACAAAAACGCTTAAAGGCACTTTTATTTCATTTCATTATATTATTTAATTTTCTTTTTTTCTCTTATTTTTTTAAATTTGTTGTTTTTGTTTGTTGAAGACCATGTACGATTAGCCCAGGAAAACCGAGTGCAAAGCGCTCTCCCCTTATCAAACACTCAGTGCCACTCAATAGTGACACTCATGGTATCCAGTAGTACAGACTGGCATTGCCCGTTGCCGCGACAGTGGAGGTCAATCATGAGCACAACGTGTGCAGTCTCCTCATCCTGAAATAAAGTTGAAATGCTGTGGTTTTTACCTGTGATCTCCAGGTGCATGGAGCTGTCCATGGGGAGGGGCAGAGACAGGAAGTTGAAGGGGTCGAACCTGGCGCTGATGTGTCCGCACGTTTTACACTTCACCTGGGACTTGAGCTGCCCGTGGAACAGGTCCACCACGATCGAACGGTTCCTGCGGAGGTGGTTCTCCCAGGCCTGAGAGACGAGAAGAGGAAGAGGAACGAGAGGAAGACGGGGAAATGAGAAATGAGACTCAAATGTGTCTAAAAAAGTGTCTGAGTGTAAAAGTTACTTTGTAACTTTTCTGATGGAGGGTCAATCAATCACTTTTCTCCATGGAGATGTTATTGCTTTGTCTGGAATGTTCCACAGTGCGGCACTAAACCTTTTTATCTTCACGGAGACCAAACCAGACCAAGGTACAGGTCAGATCTGTGGAGAGGTGACCCGCTCACAGTCAGAATGTCTGTTTTTCTAGGTATTTTTGAGCTATAAAACCAACTGTGATTTAATAAATGTAAAGCAGAACTGTTTAATGTCACACTGTGGAACATTCCAGGCAGAGCAGTGACGTATCCATAGAAACAAGCAGCTGACGGACCCCCAGCCGATAAGTTAGACAGTGCAGCTTTAGGAGGAGTATCCAGGCCTCACCTCAGACGCCACCTCCCAGTCCGGTCTCCCGTCGCTGTCCTTCAGTTCCACGTACGGTTTCTCGTGGACTCGGTTCAGGTCCTCGTGAAGTCCGTCCAACAGAAACGCCAACAGCTCCTGAGAGTCCTGCTGCTGGAAGCCGTTAAAGCGCGGGGCGTACTTCGCTATCGTCCACTGAAAAACACAGGAACACACAGAAACTATAAATATACATGTACAGAAAGAGGGAAATAATCAATCAAACTTTATTGGCTTCTTCCATATATAAAGCACTAGATTACTCAAACATGCACGGATGACGTCCAGAAGTAGGTAATGTTTCTGACCCTGAGTTTGAGAGGAGCCACGTTCTTCTGCGTCCCGCTCCACAGCTCCATGACCAGGTCCCCGTAACACTTCGCCATGTGCCCGCGCATCCCGATGGGGTTAGTCCTGGAGAAATAAGAAAGAGGAGAAGGTCAGAGGAGCAGAGGAAAAGAGGAGAGGATCAGAAGGTCAGAGGAGCAGAGGAGAAGGTCAGAAGAACAGAGGAGAAGGTCAGAGGAGCAGAGAAGAGCAGAGGAGAAGAGGAGCAGAGGAGAAGAGGAGAGGATCAGAAGGTCAGAGGAGCAGAGGAGAAGGTCAGAAGAACAGAGGAGAAGGTCAGAGGAGCAGAGAAGAGCAGAGGAGAAGAGGAGCAGAGGAGAAGAGGAGAGGATCAGAAGGTTAGAGGAGCAGAGGAAAAGAACAGAGGAGAAGGTCAGAGGAGCAGAGGAGAAGGTCAGAGGAGCAGAGGAGAAGGTCAGAGGAGCAGAGGAGAAGGTCAGAAGGACAGAGGAGCAGAGGAGAAGGTCAGAAGGACAGAGGAGCAGAGGAGAAGGTCAGAGGAGCAGAGGAGAAGGTCAGAAGAACAGAGGCAGAGGAGAAGATTAGAGGAGCAGAGGAGAAGGTCAGAAGAACAGAGGAGCAGAGGAGAAGGTCAGAGGAGAGGGAGCAGAGGCAGAGGAAGAGAGGAGCAGAGGAGAAGGTCAGAAGAACAGAGGAGCAGAGGAGAAGGTCAGAGGAGCAAAGGAGAAGGTCAGAGGAGCAGAGGAGAAGGTCAAAAGGACAGAGGAGAAGAGAAGGTCAGAAGAACTGAGGAGATGGTCAAAGGGGCAGAGGAGAAGGTCAGAAGAACAGAGGAGCAGAGGAGAAGGTCAGAGGAGCAGAGGAGAAGGTCAGAGGAGCAGAGGAGCAGAGGACAGAGGAGAGAGAAGGTCAGAGGAGAAGGTCAGAGGAGAAGGTCAGAGCAGCAGAGGAGAGGGTCAAAAAGCTGGAGGAGAAGGCCAGAGGAGTAGAGAAGAGGAGCAGGGGAGAGGGTCAGAGGAGGAACAGACGGATGAGAGTTTGCAGGAGAGGGTCAGATGGTCAGATGGTCAGATGGAGCACAGTAGGAGCAGAGTTTGCAGTGTCACCTGTTGAGTTCGTAGAGGTGGGTCCCTGATATGAAATAGTCGGTCAGTGGTTTGGTGTTGCTCACACACTGAATACTGGAGTTCATGAAGCAGGTGTTGCCGAGGTTACTGAGGCCGGTCGCTCCCTTCTCTGTCGGAACTGAACCAAACCGCAAGACCACAAGTTAGAGCTGCATGAATTAATGAACTTTACATCCATTTTATTATAGCTTAGAACACTTTTACCTATTCTTACTTATAATCACACAGCCCTGCTTTTAATAATAATAATAATAATAATACTGGAGCTTTAAACTGACCTTTGTGTCGGTCCATTTTGCTGCTGTTTGCGATGAAGGACATCTCCTCGGGCCAACTCATGTCTTTGTTCCGGACTAAAAACAAAAAACAAAAAAGGCAAGTTAGAAGAAACATTATCAGGATTATGTTTAAAGTTCATATGATTGGTTTTGGTTAATTCTCTCATTTTTTACTTGATTTGGTGGGATAAAAACCTGCGGCAAATATAAATTATAATTTTACAGATGGTGAAGAAAAATGGGAAAATATGTTGGAAAATTACAAGAGAAAGTTCAATTTTAGAGAGTCCCACACTGAGAGAATTCTGTCCAAAAGTTTTTACCCAAAGATTTACACAAAATAAACACTTTTTTGAGACACTTTAAACATTATGTCCACAAAATAACAGTGTTTTCTTATCATTTTATTTGTCAAATAATAATCTCTGTGTACATTAGAGGAGTTTTGGCCCCTCTAACCATATATTATGGTTGTTAGGTAAGAGTTATGGAATTCCCTCGAAAAAATGGTCAAACTGGGGGGAAAAAAATGTAAAATGTTTAGAAAATAAAAAAAAATACTGATCTTAAGTGTGTTTTATGAGTAGTTGGACCTGTCATAGGCTCTTTAAACTCTGTAATGTTTGATTTTGTTGTAATTCACTGTTGAGGCCTGAGCTGCTGTACCTTCTATGACCAGCTGCTGCTCGTCGTGGATCTTCAGACTTTCTAAAGTGTGGTCCTCGTCGTCCAGCAGAGTCAGGTAGTTCTGTGGAACACAACGTTTCATTTTTAGATTTTCTTAAACCACGTCACGTTTGGACCACTGTCGTCCTTTTGTCTTCCGTCTCATTTTGAAGCGCGAGAGAAACCCACAGGATCTTTGCTTTTCTTAAATTAAATCAACTTGGGAAACTGAATAAGAATTTAAAGGAGCACTCTGTAACTTTCCAGGTGGAGGGTCCGTCGCCACGGAGATGTTCTATATTCACAGTATCATATTAAACTTATCTGTTTCCATGGAGACAAGCACCAAGTCAATTTACAGGTCAGGTCTGTGGATCTTATTTAGAATTTATTAATACCAGGTCTCGATCTAGGGCTGGGTCTCAGTCTAAGTTTAGGTCTCCATCTCGGTCTAAGGTCTCGGTCTAAGGTCTCGGTCTAAGGTCTCGGTCTAAGGTCTCGGTCTAAGGTCTCGGTCTAAGGTCTCGGTCTAAGGTCTCGGTCCAAGTCCACGTTCAAGTCCACGTTCAAGTCCACGTTCAAGTCCACGTTCAAGTCCACGTCCCCGTCCACGTCCCCGTCCAAGTCCCCGTCCAAGTCCCCGTCCAAGTCCCCGTCCACGTCTACATCTAAGTCCAAGTCTACGTCTAAGTCTTCGTCTACATCTAAGTCCAAGTCTACGTCCAAGTCTACGTCTAAGTCTAGGTCTACATCTAAGTCTACATCTAGGTCTCCGTCTTAGTCTAAGTTTAGGTCTACGTCTAAGTCTACATCTAGGTCTACGTCCAAGTCTATGTGTAAGTCTACGTCTAAGTCTACATCTAGGTCTACATCTAGGTCTACATCTAAGTCTACATCTAGGTCTCCGTCTTAGTCTAAGTTTAGGTCTACGTCTAAGTCTACATCTAGGTCTACGTCTAAGTCTATGTGTAAGTCTACGTCTAAGTCTACATCTAGGTCTACGTCTAAGTTTACGTGTAAGTCTCCATCCAGGTCTCCGTCTACATCTAGGTCTATATCTCCATTTATGTCAAAGTCTACGTCAGAGTCTACATCTCCGTCTAGGTCTATGTCTAGTTGTTTTGTACCTCGCTGTGGTAAAGCTACAGCCTCATGTCTGAGTCTCGGTCTGAGTCTCGGTCTGAGTCTCGGTCTGAGTCTCGGTCTGAGTCTCGGTCTGAGTCTCGGTCTGAGTCTCGTCTGAGTCTCTGAGTCTCGTCTGAGTCTCGGTCTGAGTCTCGTCTGAGTCTGGTCTGAGTCTCGGTCTGAGTCTCGGTCTGAGTCTCGGTCTGAGTCTAGGTCTGAGTCTCGGTCTGAGTCTAGGTCTGAGTCTAGGTCTGAGTCTAGGTCTGAGTCTAGGTCTGAGTCTAGGTCTGAGTCTAGGTGTAGTTGTTTTGTACCTCGCTGTTGTGAAGCCACAGTCTTACATGTAGTTCTAGGTGTAGGTCTGAGTCTTTGTCTGAGTCTTTGTCTGAGTCTTTGTCTGAGTCTTTGTCTGAGTCTTGGTCTGCGTCTCGGTCTGCGTCTCGGTCTGCGTCTCGGTCTGAGTCTCGTGAGTCTCGGTCTGAGTCTCGGTCTGAGTCTCGGTCTCGGTCTGCGTCTCGGTCTGCGTCTCGGTCTGCGTCTCGGTCTGAGTCTAGGTGTAGCTGTAGTTGTTTTGTCTTACGTGTAGTTCTAGATGTAGGTCTAAGTCTTTGTCTGAGTCTCAGTCTGTGTCTCGGTCTGCGTCTCGGTCTGCGTCTCGGTCTGGTCTCTGCGTCTCGGTCTGAGTCTCGGTCTGCGTCTCGGTCTGAGTCTCGGTCTGGTCTCGGTCTGCGTCTCGTCTCGGTCTGAGTCTCGGTCTGAGTCTCGGTCTGAGTCTCGGTCTGAGTCTCGGTCTGTCTCGGTCTGCGTCTCGGTCTGCGTCTCGGTCTGCGTCTCGGTCTGAGTCTCGGTCTGAGTCTCGGTCTGAGTCTCGGTCTGAGTCTCGGTCTGAGTCTCGGTCTGAGTCTCGGTCTGAGTCTCGGTCTGAGTCTCGGTCTGAGTCTAGGTCTGAGTCTAGGTCTGAGTCTAGGTCTGAGTCTAGGTGTAGTTGTTTTGTACCTCGCTGTTGTGAAGCCACAGTCTTACATGTAGTTCTAGGTGTAGGTCTGAGTCTTTGTCTGAGTCTTTGTCTGAGTCTTTGTCTGAGTCTTTGTCTGAGTCTTTGTCTGAGTCTTTGTCTGAGTCTTGGTCTGCGTCTCGGTCTGCGTCTCGGTCTGCGTCTCGGTCTGCGTCTCGTCTGAGTCTCGGTCTGAGTCTCGGTCTGAGTCTCGGTCTGAGTCTCGGTCTGCGTCTCGGTCTGCGTCTCGGTCTGGTCTCGGTCTGCGTCTCGGTCTGCGTCTCGGTCTGAGTCTAGGTGTAGCTGTAGTTGTTTTGTCTTACGTGTAGTTCTAGATGTAGGTCTAAGTCTTTGTCTGAGTCTTTGTCTGAGTCTTTGTCTGAGTCTTTGTCTGAGTCTTGGTCTGAGTCTTGGTCTGGTCTCGGTCTGCGTCTCGGTCTGCGTCTCGGTCTGCGTCTCGTCTGAGTCTCGGTCTGAGTCTCGGTCTGCGTCTCGGTCTGCGTCTCGTCTGGTCTGGTCTCGAGTCTCGGTCTGAGTCTCGGTCTGAGTCTCGGTCTGAGTCTCGGTCTGCGTCTCGTCTGAGTCTCGGTCTGAGTCTCGGTCTGAGTCTCGGTCTTGGTCTGAGTCTCGGTCTGAGTCTCGTCTGCGTCTGCGTCTCGGTCTGAGTCTCGGTCTGAGTCTCGGTCTGACTCGTCTGAGTCTCGGTCTGAGTCGGTCTGAGTCTCGGTCTGCGTCTCGGTCGGTCTCGGTCTGAGTCTCGGTCTGAGTCTCGGTCTGAGTCTCGGTCTGAGTCTCGGTCTGAGTCTCGGTCTGAGTCTCTGAGTCTTGTCTGAGTCTGGTCTGAGTCTCGGTCTGGTCTGAGTCTCGGTCGAGTCTCGGTCTGAGTCTCGGTCTGGTCTGAGTCTCGTCTGAGTCTCGGTCGTCTGCGTCTCGGTCTGCGTCTCGGTCTGAGTCTCGGTCTGGTCTGAGTCTCGGTCTGCGTCTCGGTCTGAGTCTCGGTCTGAGTCTCGGTCTGAGTCTCGGTCTGAGTCTCGGTCTGAGTCTCGGTCTGAGTCTCGGTCTGAGTCTCGGTCTGAGTCTCGGTGTAGCTGTAGTTGTTTTGTACCTCGCTGTTGTAGAGCCACAGCCTCATGTCCTCCTCTTTGATCCTCAGCCTCTGGGACAGGTACAGGTGAATGTCTTTGATCGTCCCCATTCGACTGAAGCAGCCGCTGTACGCCAGCGCCCTCTTCAGGGGAGCGTTAGGAGACGGCACGTTTCCTACACGACGAGTTCAGACACACAGAGCTCATACAACGTACAAAAAACTGTCATTTTAATTATAAAGTACAGCCTTAATATTGTGATTCTGCAAAATATCTACAAAACAGGGTTGTCAAAAGTCTCAAAACTAGATCCTCATTTTTCGCAGGTATCGATACTAAAAAAGTCAGGTTGAGTATCAAATCTATTAATTAGTATAAACTCTGTTCACGTTTACGTCACAAAACCAGCAGAAGTTTAGAAACATGCGGATGACGACTTCCTTTGGGCTCTGTTGGGCGAAAGTAACTGAGAAAATGGGCCAGTTTTCTTCATCTAGATGTTGTTGTATTCCTTCTTTTTCCTTTGGCAGGTTGTGAAGACGCTGCTGCCAAATCCATGGTTTTTATCAGACAGTAACTACACCAGAAGTCATCATCCGCATGTTTCCAAACGTCTTCCAGTAAGTGTGAATAGACCTTTTTCACAACAGCTGGAAGTGTCGTGCTGTAGGTTTGTGGAACTTCCGGTTAATGTTTTTCTATGGCAAAATGTGTGTAAATGTGTGTGTAAATGTGTGTGTAAATGTGTGTGTAAATGTGTGTGTAAATGTGTGTGTAAATGTGTGTCGTATTCTCCAGCAGCTTCATAAATCTGCCCCATCACCAAATCTTCAACCAACAAGGTCCACAAAGGATAAACATTCTAAAGGGCCGTTCACACCAGAGCGTCAAAGCGTCCAGTGTCTATGTGGACGCGTGACTACAGTGTCCTGTGTTTTTGCGGCGTGTCCAAGGCGTCAGCGTCAAGAAGTTGAAAATGCTGAACTTTTCACGTCAGACGCGCCGCATCAACCAATCAGAGACGAGTATCCAGTGATGCAGCGACGTTATTATCAGGAAGAAAAACCCGAGAACCAGAGCGAGAACCACAAACATGAGCGGAGCATAAATATATACACCACAATCAACGAGCCGATCGGGAGGACTACACCAGGACTACACCAGGACCGGACCAGGACTAAACCAGGACTACACCAGGACCGGACCAGGACTAAACCAGGACTACACCAGGACCGGACCAGGACTAAACAAGGACTACACCAGGACGACACCAGGACTACACCAGGACCGGACCAGGACTAAACCAGGACTAAACCAGGACTACACCAGGACTACACCAGGACTAAACCAGGACTAAACCAGGACTAAACCAGGACTACACCAGGACTAAACCAGGACTAACACCAGGACTACACCAGGACTACACCAGGACTACACCAGGACTACACCAGGACTACACCAGGACCAGGACTACACCAGGACCAGGACCAGGACTAAACAGGACTAAACAGGACTACCAGGACTAAACCAGGACTAAACCAGGACCACACAGGACTACACCAGGACCACACCAGGACTAAACCAGGACTAAACCAGGACTGGACCAGGACTAAACCAGGACTAAACCAGGACCACACCAGGACTACACCAGGACCACACCAGGACTACACCAGGACTACACCAGGACTAAACAAGGACTACACCAGGACTAAACAAGGACTAGACCGGGACTAGACCGGGACTAGACCGGGACTAGACCGGGACTAGACCGGGACTAGACCGGGACTGATCCAGTGTCATTAGCAGAGTATAAATATAAACACGCCCAAGTCGTCAACCTGATCTCCTCTGCTGATGTTTTATGTCATAAAAACACTAAACACAGTCTCTCTCAGTCTGGTCTGACATTGTTTCGGGAAAAGACCGGGACCGGGCTCTTGTTTCCAGGGCAACGGACGAGCGTCAAGTATTTTTCTCCCGTTCGTCCACAGTGTCAAAGACGCGCGTCGGGGGCGTCTAAACTCAAATCCAAAGGCGTCCAAATAGAGGCGTCAAGGCGTTTTTTGATGCTTTGGTGTGAACGGCCCTTAACATGAAACATTTATCCACAACTATCAAGAGAAGAAAGACGAAAACTTAAAGGAAACAACGACGACGAATTAGTGACCTATGTTATGGTCCTAGAGATGTCTTGCATTTGAACTGCACAAATCTATCTATATATATCTATCGACAATGAAATCGATTTTTAATTTTAATTCTAGAATCAGTCCGAGTGAACAAGTTCTTCTGTTTTATTCATGATCGTAACATTAGTTTTGTTCAGTGTGTCATTAATGCTCGTCGTTGTTTCCTTTAAGTTTTGGTCTTTCTTCTCTTGACAGTTGTGGATAAATTCTTGTTGGTTGAAGATTTGGTGATGGGGCAGATTTATGAAACTGCTGGAGAAAACGACACACATTTACACACTTATGCACACACTTAAGCACACACTTACTCACACACATTTACACACACATTTACACATTTATGCACACACTTAAGCACACACTTACTCACACACATTTACACACACATTTACACATTTATGCACACACTTAAGCACACACTTACTCACACACATTTACACACACATTTACACATTTATGCACACACTTAAGCACACACTTACTCACACACATTTACACACACATTTACACACGCATTCACACACACATTCACACACATTGACAAACACATTTACACACACATTTACACACACATTTACACATTTACACACGCATTCACACACACATTTACACACACACCCCCACACACACATTTACACACACATTTACACATTTACACATTTACACACGCATTCACACACACATTCACACACATTGACAAACACATTTACACACATTTCTACATTTACACACACATTTACACACACACACATTTACAAACACTTACGCACACATTTACACATTTACACACACATTCACACACACACCCCCACACACACACTTACACACACATTTACACACACACCCCCACACACACATTTACACACATTGACAAACACATTTACACACACATTTACACACATTGACAAACACATTTACGCACACACTTAAGCACACACTTACTCACACACATTTACACATTTACACACGCATTCACACACATTGACAAACACATTTACGCACATTTACACACATTTCTACATTTACACACACATTTACACACACACATTTACAAACACTTACGCACACATTTACACATTTACACACACACTTACACACACATTTACACACACACCCCCACACACACATTTACACACATTGACAAACACATTTACACACACATTTACAAACACATTTACACACACATTTACAAACACATTTACACACATTTCACATTTACACACACACATTTACAAACACTTACGCACACTTACGCACACATTTACACATTTACACACACATTTACACACACACCCCCACACACACATTTACACACATTGACAAACACATTGACACACACATTTACACACACACATTTACACACACATTTTGCCACAGAAAACCATAAACCTACAGTGCGATACCTCCAGCTGTTGTGAAAAAGATCTACAGCTCTATAGTTTGAAATTTGAATATCGTGACAACATTTCTCCATAACTTATTACAATATAACACATTTTCCAGTCTCTCACCTCTTTTCTTGACCATAAAAGAGTTTAAAGTTTTACTCGACAAACCTTAGTCGATGGCGTTACCGCGGAAACATGCAGAAATCAGCCGGTGTGGTGCATTGTGGGGGGATTAGAGGTAAGAAAGCAGCAAGAGGGGCTGTGCCAATCTGTCAATCATTAATGTATTTAGTGGACTGGGGGAAACAGACCAATCAGATTAGTCCTGTTAAATCACAACGTCACACACGATTAGTCAGGTCTGATCAATCAGTAGGATTCAATCAGATGTATCGATCGGAGATTTGAGTTTCTGTCCTCACAGCCTTCTCATTCACATCACATCACCTCTTTGTTTACATAATTTACTCTTGTTTTGTTTGTTTTAGTTCTTTTAGCCTGTTTTCTTGATGCTTTTTTGTGAACGAATGTGAATAAATGAATGAGCTCAGTCGCTGCCAATAAAAACACCTTGAACTCTGAGGGCCCGATCTTGACCCCAGTCTTAAAACTAACGCGTGGAGTGGGCGTGACTTCGGTCGGGCTGCGCTTGGGTGGGGCGGTACAAGTACAAATATGGTGACGGCATCTGAACCGATCCCTGACCGCTGTGGCGTTTAAAATCACTGCCAGTGTGGGTAAAGTACGGAAGCCGAGAGGGGTCACGACAAACGCAAACGCCGCAACAAATACAAACGCGACGACACGACAAAAAGCCACAACAAACCAAAAAAAAGACACAACGGAAATGACCGCGGGACGCTATTTTAACGCAAACGCCGTAACACGAACGCAAATGCCGCAACACATTAAAAAGCCACAACGGAAATGACCGCGGGAGTCTATTTTAATGCTAATGCCGCAACACAAACGCCATAACACAAATGCAAACGCCGCAACACATTAAAAAGCCGCAACATATCAAAAAGCCACAACACATTAAAAAGCCACAACGGAAATTACCGTGGGACTCTATTTTAATGCAAACGCCGCAACACAAACGCAAATGCCGCAACACATTAAAAAGCCACAAGCCACAGTCTATTTTAATGCTAATGCCGCAACACAAACGCCATAACACAAACGCAAACGCCGCAACACATTAAAAAGCCGCAACATATCAAAAAGCCACAACACATTAAAAAGCCACAACGGAAATTACCGTGGGACTCTATTTTAATGCAAACGGCACAACACAAACGCAAACGCCGCAACACAAATGCAAATGCTGCGAAACATTAAAAAGCCGTAACACATTAAAAAGCCACAACACATCAAAAAGCCACAACAGAAATGACCGCGAGAGGCTATTTTAATGCAAACGCAGCAACACAAATGCAAACGCCACAACACAAACGCAAATGCCACAACACATCAAAAAGCCACAACGGAAATGACCGTGGGACTCTATTTTAATGCAAATGCTGCAACACAAACGTAAACGCCGCAACACATCAAAAAGCCACAACATAAGTGACCGCGGGACTCTATTTTCCGACGGACCGATCAAGCGGCAAGTGAAGAAGAAGAACTACAACGTGAAAAGTAAAGGAACGGAGAAGTTGGAAACGTAAGTAAAAGTAATTTATTGTTTTATCATTACTCGTTTCACGTTGTAGTTCTTCTTCTTCACAAAATCAAAAACTGAAAAAAAACGAATCATTATCTGTTTTTTCATTTTGGTTTTAGAGACAAATAATGAAGAAAACTGTTGCTTTTTCGTTTTCTTATTTTTGGTTTTATATTGAAAAACGAACGAACGAATGATACACAGATTATTATTATCCTAATATATTTACAAATAAAACAAGTCTTGAGCATGTTCCACGTTGTTTTTAAGTGAACTCGTTTGATATTTATTTTTACGATTCTGGCAATTCACTGAACGCACCACACCTGCCCTCAGTCTGCTCCACTCCACCTGATGTTCAGACACGACACACCGACTGTTTAAAACTCTACGATCCACTCTTATGCTGTGCTGAGATTGAGGGGAAGATCGGGCCCTGAACCTTAAAGATGCTTGTTGCTCTGCCGGGAATGTTCCACAGTGTGACATTAAACAGCTCCACTTTACATTTATTCAATCACAGGTGGTTTTATGGCTCAAAAATACCTAGAAAAACAGACTTTCTGACTGAGCGGGGTCGCAAAAATCTTAAGTTCTGAAAACAAAAACTGCAGCAAAAAGATCGCTCACTACAAAATGAAAACTTTCCGTTAAACCGTCGCGTCAGCTGTTTCCCGTCTACAGTAAAACCACCCGCTGAGGCTCTGATCGATCTGAACAGGTCATTTTTGAATCAAAAAACTAGAATAAATCCGAACAGAATGAGGTCACGCTTCAGGCTGTAAAGATAGAAAACAGAGCTTGAATCATATTTTGATTTTAAGTCCATTTGTGATTTTGATCAGAGATTTTAGTCAGTCCACACGGGCTGGATCCAGACGAGACACTACACACAAAACTATATTATATAATCAGATTTTTAGGTTTTGGGCCAGTTTAATAAGAAAATGTCCAATCTTAACGTGTAGATTTGATCATTTCCTGTCATTAAACCAACTTTGATCTATATTTCTCTCCACCACCTTCCAAGCAGCTCGCCAAAGGATTTCTGAATTATATATATTGCACTTAATAACTAAAATCTGATTAATTCCCATTGTAAATCTGTCATTTTGAGGCCTAACTTGTGCACTAATAAATGGATATTATGGTTTATGTTTAATAGAAACTGAACTGTACCTCGTCTAAAGCTCGTCATGGCTTTTTTACTTTCTCAGTTTCTTGTGGCCTCTAAAATGAGTCACTCTCTGGTATTTTTGTTTTATAAATGTCGCTCACCAGAGGAAAAAGGCCGGAAACCTCTGACAGATATGGTTCCAGCTTCTACAGCTAATTCCTATCTGGTTTTAAGGTCAAATGTAATGCCAAGTTTACAAAAATATTAAATAAGATAAAATCCTCTAGTATTTTGTTTCCAATGTGTCAACATAACTAATAAAAAACAAAAAAACTACCCTGGTCCGTGTACCATTTGTTCTGTTAAATTTCAATTAAGATTAAAAAACAATAAAATGGGAAAACAGTTTATTTCATTTTTCCGTTTTAGGGTCAAAAAAAAAGAAAAGACTCAAGATTTCAACCTCTATTTCCAATTTATTTATTTGTCATCATGCCTATTTAAATTTTTATATTTTATTCTCTCTGGTTTATTTGATTTTTTTTTTTTTTTTTTATGTTGCTCAGCGCCAAGTGTGAATTCAGTGTCACCTGAACAAAAGAGTTGTAAAAGAAGACGACATGTTTATAAATAATACTGCAACTATTTTTCAGGTGAGTCCTTCTAGCAGCAGAACATTTGAGGCATATAAACTAATGTCCTAGTTCTTGAGACCGGTCTTGGTCTTCAGAACAGTCTCGAGACCACTTTTTACACTCTTGGTTTTGTCTCAGCCTCGAACGCATTTGGACTCGGTCTTGTCTCGGTCTTGACGTCGCTTGGTCTCGCTCGACACTCGACGAACGGTATTATATTTCATTACGGTCGGTAAATGTGCAGAGGCTCAATATCAGTGCAAAACCAGTGTGATAATGTAACTGTAAATGTTAGGAACTTGAAAAAACCCACTAACTCTGAAACTGTTTTGTGTAAAGTGCCAGTGGAAGTGGAATTAAAAAAAGAGGTTCTCAAACTGTGGGTGAGGGTCCAAAAAAGTGGCGCAGAGTGTTTCAGTGCCGTACAGTTTGCTTGGCTTATTTTAGGCCTAAATTAACATTAATCAGATAAAATGGAGATATATATCAATGTTTTTATAAATCTATGTATGAAAATAGCTGTAAATTGTAAATACATGTAGGAAATGACAAAGATGGTCTCGATTTGGTCTCGATTTGGTCTCGATTGGTCTCGATTTACAAATACATGTAGGAAATGACAAAGATGGTCTCGATTTGGTCTCGATTTGGTCTCGATTTGGTCTCGATGAGCCATTGCAAATACATGTAGGAAATGACAAAGATGGTCTCGATTTGGTCTCGATTTGGTCTCGATTTGGTCTCGATTTGGTCTCGATTTGGTCTCGATTTGGTCTCGATTTGGTCTTTGGTCTCATTTGCAAATTTGGTCTCAATTTGGTCTCGATGAGCCATTGCAAATACATGTAGGAAATGACAAAGATGGTCTCGATTTGGTCTCGATTTGGTCTCGATTTGGTTTCGATTTGGTCTCGATTTGGTCTCGATTTTCGATTTGGTCTCAATTTGGTCTCAATTTGGTCTCAATTTGGTCTCGATTTGGTCTCGATTTGGTCTCAATTTGGTCTCAATTTGGTCTCGATGAGCCGTTGCAAATACATGTAGGAAATGACAAAGATGGTCTCGATTTGGTCTCGATTTGGTCTCGATTTGGTCTCGATTTGGTCTCGATTTGGTCTCGAATTTGGTCTCAATTTGGTCTCGATGAGCCGTTGCAAATACATGTAGGAAATGACAAAGATGGTCTCGATTTGGTCTCGATGGGCCGTGCTCTCGGTCTTGTCTCGGTTTCGACTCTCAGAGCTCTTGGTCTTGTCTTGGTCTCTGGACCCTGTGGTCTTGGTTTGGTCTTGGTCTCGATTAGTGTGGGCTTGATAACAACACTAATATAAACCAGAAAGAATAAAATATCAAAATCAAAACAGGCACGATGACTGTTTTTTGATTGGTCGAAATCTGTTTTGGTTTTTTGGTTTGTTTTTTTTACACTAAAACGGAAAAATTAAATAGAAACTGTTTTCCCATTTTATTGATTTTTGTTCTTAATTGAAATTCAAAAGAATGAACCCCTATCAATTATTCTTATGTGTTCTACAGACAGTTTAAGAGATTTTTTACAATTTCAGATTTTATTTCTTACTTTCAATACAGTAAATGTTGAAAAAACTAAATTTGACAAACATCTTTTTCTAATATTTCTGTAAAAGTCTGATCTCTCTAAATTAAAGTTCATGTACCTGATTTTTCGCACATAATCTGAGCACAAATCAGGTACAGCTCGTTTCAGTTTCGTCCTGTCCACCTGCAGTGTCTCGCCTGGATACCACAGCATGTTTATCGAGTTGATTTTTGGTGATTTTCGTGGCTGTTCCGGTCTTGCTGCAGGCTTACGTTACCTCTAGGGGGCGCTAAGTGCGGAGGGAACATTCTCAGGCTGGTCATACCCAGGTTGACCCAGATGTTGGACTGAGGCGTGCGAGAGGCCGGCTGCTGTCGGAGGAACAGGAGGTAACGAGGAAACAGCTCCAGCTCCGGAGTCTTGGTCCGGCTCTCCAGGATCACCTGAAACATCGAGAGAGAAGATGGGGGTTTAAAGTGCAGGACAGACTTTTAACACTCCCTAATTTGTCTCTAAATTGGTGTTGTAGATATAAATTATAGTTTTACACCAATCACAAAACAATTTGTGAAGAAAAGTAAAGAAAGTGGAGAGTTCTAAACATACTGACATCACAACATGGAGAATCTATCCAAAACTTCAGCACAATTTCACATAAGAAACTGTTTTTCTGATACTTTAAACATTATTTCCATAAAAAAGGTATTTTTTTTTATATTTGTATTTGTAAAATAATAATCTCTGTGTACATTAGAGGAGTTTGGCTACAGTTAGAATCCACTAGTGCAGGGTTTTTAAAGTGGGTGAATGTGTGTAAATGTATCTTTTGTGTTCCTGCAATGATGAGTTTCAATAACAACTGATAATATATTTATTAATATTGTATTTTTCATATATGTATAATTTTTGAAAATGCATTTATAAACGATTTTCACAACAGCAAATAATTTCCAACTTCATGCAGGCAACTTTAAACATCATTGAACATCAGTAGGACACAGGACTAAACCAGGACTACACCAAGTCTAAACCAGGTCTAAACCAGGACTACACCAAGTCTAAACCAGGTCTAAACCAGGTCTAAAAAAGGTCTAAACCAGGTCTAATCTAGGACTAAACCAGGTCTAAACCAGTTTTAAACCAGTTTTAAACCAGGGACTAAACCATGTCTAAACCAGGACTACACCGAGTCTAAACCGAGTCTAAACCAGGACTAATCTTGGACTTGAGAGAGAGAAAGATGGAGCCCGTGGAGCAGGGTGTCCGCAAAGAGCGATCGGACAACGGCTGCACTTATCCCCGTGGGGCGTGGATCTCTGCACCGGTCCTTTCACCTGCGATCACCCGACGGTCTATGCAGACACACCTTCAGGCCCGTCCCGACACTCAGTCCTGGTTCACTCTTGGTTCAGTCCTGGTTCAGTCCCGGGATCAGTCTTGGTTTAGTCCACGTGTGTTGCTTCTCCCCAGTGGCTCTTTGGCGTCTCCCAGGGGAAGCGAGCCTCACCTATTGAAAACCACTGCCCTAGCGTCATAATTTCCAATCGGGAAGTAAAACGTAAATAGGAAAAAAGTACATCAAGTTTGTTTGTTTATTTCTCCTGACCATTAACCACAAACCAGGTGTAGTTTTGTCTCAGTGTAGTTTGTAGTTTTTGTGTGTACATTAGAGGACTTTTGTTGTGGTGTGTTTGTTGTTTGTGCGTGACACTCACAGGTCGGGGCAGGCTGAGGTTGGCTCCGTACCAGTGATACAGAGCTCTCCACACGGGCTCGGGGACGATCTCAAAGTCTCTGCCCGGGACCAGCTGCAGGGAACGCTTCAGACGCCCGCCCTCCATCGTCAGAGTGGGAGCCTGAGGAGGAGGAGGAGGAGAACTGTTACAGTAGCAGCAGTAGCAGTAGTAGTAGTAGTAGCAGTAGCAGTAGTAGTAGTAATAGTAGTAGTAGTAGTAGTAGCACTAGTAATAGTAGTAGTAGCAGTAGCAGCAGCAGCAGCAGCAGCAGCAGCAGCAGCAGCAGCAGTAGCAGTAGTACTAGTAATAGTAGTAGTAGCAGTAGCACTAGTAGTAGTAATAGTAGTAGTAGTAGTAGTAGTAGTAGTAGCACTAGTAATAGTAGTAGTAGCAGTAGCACTAGTAGTAGTAGTAGTAGTAGCAGCAGCAGCAGCAGCAGTAGCAGTAGTACTAGTAGTAGTAGTAGTAGTAGTAGCACTAGTAATAGTAGTAGTAGCAGTAGCACTAGTAGCAGTAGCAGCAGTAGTAGCGGCAGCAGCGGCGGCAGCAGCAGTAGTAGCAGCAGTAGTAGCAGCAGCAGCAGCAGTATTGTGAGACTGAACCTTGATGGGGTCCATGTTGACGAGCGGCTGGTTGTCGATGGCGGCGGGTCTCTGGGGGCAGAGTTGGGGCAGGTGGCCGTTGGGGGCGGAGAAACACTGGGGGTTTTCTGAGGCGTGATGAGGACGAGCGAAGCAGCTTTCGGACGCCGAGGACGGGAGAGGACCCAGAGCTGGAGAGGAGAGGGACACACACAGGTTAATAATAATAAATACTCCATTATATTATAGACAATTTTCATGTGTTTGAGACGTGTGGAGACACTTTTTTAAAATATTCCATCCAGTCCTTGTATTTGCGGAGGTCGCTGGTGTTAGACAAGTGCATGTCAATGATCATAGTTATCCTGCCACTAAAAACAGTCTTACACACTCCACAAAACACCTGAAGAAAATCTATTATTACACCAAACTGTCCATGTGAATGTCTGTGTTGATAGAATAATTTGAAAAATAAAAGTAACCTTGCATCGCATGTAGGAGTGTCGTGATAACAGCAAAAATGAATCATCACGGTGCATGTTGGGCCACCACGATCACAGCACGTGACCAACGTGACCCAACCCAGAGTCCTGCACGGGTCCATTTTTAGAGACCTGCACCCGCTAACATGCCACCCATTACCCCCCATGCCCAGGATAACCCAGGACTAACCCAGGACTAAGGCGCACCAATGTAGACCGTCGGGTGACCGCAGGTGAAAGGACCGCAGCAGAGCTCCGTGCCGCACAGAGGTAATGTGGTATCACCGCATACCGCTGTGTTGAGTCGCTATACCACAGGAGAAACTCCCTAACCACGCAGTCCTAATCGCATGAATCGTCACATGTTGAGGGACTATTTTCTCATATATCAGTCCGCCGCTGCCGAGCTTTCTATCAGGAAGTACAACACACTGCTGCTGCTCAGACATAAATCTTTCAAATACAAGGTTGGTTTTACTTCTAAAATTAATATCGACACAGACATTCACATGGACAGTGTAATAATAGATTTTCTTCGGGTGTTTTGTGGAGTGGGTAAGTTTTTAGTGGCAGGATAACTATGACCATTGACATGCACGAGAGTAGCACCAACGACCTCTGCAAATACAAGGACTGGATGGAATATTTTAAAAAGTGTCTCCAAGTCCAAGTCAGAATTAGTAAATCGTGACATTTCTAGTATGTATTTATAGTCTTGTGTTTGTACTGACTTGTCTCTGTGGCCTCTGAGGCGCTGCTCAGTGTGTCCGGGGACCTCTCCTCTGAAGGACTGACGGAGCTCTGAGGACTCCACGCTCCTCTGCCGTCCGCCTCCGAACAGACAGGGGGCGCCGTGGAGCGGAGGGAGGACAGGACAGAGGGCTGCTCCACCACGATCCCCTTCTGCTCCTGAAAGAGAGAGAGAGGCTGTGGTGACTATACAAACGTGTTGTGCAGGCAAAAACTCACAACTGTCAGGACCTTAGGCAAAAAAATACTATTTATCCACTTTATTCCAGAAGTCATCGTGATTCAGGATAAATCATTTTGTATGGGGCCGATCTTTACAGCAAATAAGTTCAATACAGACGATAAAGGCATTTGAAAGAAAATCAGTGCAGTGTGAGGTCACATGATTATGATTTACACAGATTAACTGACTTTATGTCAAATTTAAGATGCAAAACGTTTCGCAAAGTCTCCATCGAACATGAACGGAATATCCATTTAACCGGAAGTGCCACCACAAAAAAGTGCGGTTTAGGAGCATTTAGAGACAAAAGTGGGCGGGGCAGAATAAGGTGGATACACAAGATGCAACGATGTGGTTTTCCCACAATACGATTTTTTTTTTTTTATTTATTTATTTAAAATGATAAAAATTTGCTTGGAAGGACTGACATATTTTATAGAAATAGTTTCCTTTCATTTTGAAGTAATATTAAAGTATTGGGAAGAAAAAAGTTGACAAATGATGTAAAATCCTGCACCTTCTACTTGTTTGAACAATTTTCCCTCCGTTACTTTTCCCTCCGTTACCATGACCTTTCTTAATAAAAAATCTCATGAGTCAAAAAGTCAGAGGTTTTTCAACCTAATCTTGTACCATATGGTAGAAAACTATATGAAGCAAATATTCAAACCAGTTTGTTAAGGATATGTAAGTGAGAACCAAGAGTTATCACTGTTTGGATTTATTGCCCAAAAAAGTGCTGCATATTTCATTCCCTCCGTTACCGACATGAGTTTTTAAATTTTTTGTCAACAACTTGAAAGAATCTCACAGGTTTAACTTGACCCTGTTGGAGTGTAACTCTTTCCTACATTCTGATACTTTACTTATTTCAATAGTTCCTCTAGTTTCTGAATAAGAGACATTTGAATGTCAAAAATCTGCCCCTGTTTCCCTCCTTTAACACTTGACCAAACCCAAATATATCTCATGTAATTTTTTCTGCTAATGAGTAAAATATAATAACACTATGATGTTAATGAAACATTACTCACGTTACACACAACACACTCCAGTAGAACTCGTGTACATTTGTAGTTTATATGTGAAGTGTTTTAGTTCATTTGTTTCAGTGATTCACAGCTCAGAATTTTTATTCAGTGAAAATAACAACAGAGTTTGTCAGGCTGTTTAATATTTTATCATTTAACCAGTCGACTCTTCATACAGACTGTAGGGGAGTGACACTATCAGACTTTTCCTTTTTTGATGATGATTTGATGGTTATTTTCCTCCTGAGTCTGTCTCTCCTCTCACTGCGTCAGACACCTGTGTCAGAGCTGCTCTGTCCTCCAGCAGAGACAGTACGTGGCTCCTCCCACTCTGTCCTCTACAGTCTGTGCCACACTGAGCTCTCACATCCTCTTTCTGGACAATAAAACTCTGTTATATTTCATAGAAATGTCTCAACGAACTGTTTTCTGAGTACTGTATTTTCTGGGCTATTAGTCGCTCTGGATTATAAGACGCACTGTCATTAATTGGTCTATTTTCGAAGTTTTTTCACAAATAAACCACACTGGACTTTAAATGAAACCCAACAGTGTGATGGGTGAGTGGTTTTGTTTGTTCGTTCACGGTGACTCTGGGCTTTGTTCAGTTGTGGCGTGTAGGGAGGGTGTGTCTGGGACCAACGGATTGTCGGCGTGTTCGCAGTGACTCAGTTGTTCAGTCGTGTCTAGAAGTGTTTGCTTATTACTATGTAATAAATGTATAACAAATGTGTAATAGTTGTAGTTGTAATTGTAATAACCGTGTAATAACCGTGTAATAAGTACTATGTGTAATTAGTGGAGTTGGATGATCAGAAAATCCTAGGTAAGACTACAGGAGGCAGGGGCAGTAAACTGAGACAACGGATCAGTTGGAAAATGAATAATGTGTATTATACAGTGAAAAAAGTGAGATAACACAAAATATACACCAGCTGCAGCAAACAAAAATCAAGCAACTCAATCAATTAAACGTCCTAGAGAACCAGGTCTGTTTGCCCAGTCTGGAAAAACTAGTCCAAGCTACATCAGAGTCCAGTATTAGTTATTTTGAGGAGGTATGACGTCCATTAAGCGCAGTTGACTGAACAGTTAAGTCGTGGATGTAGCTGGAGGAGGTGGGAGACAGAGGACAGGCGGTTAACCTCCTACCAGACCGAAGTTCTTTCAAAAGGACAGTTCCCAGCTCGCCATCAAATGAAACCCAGGTTTGGGCACCTGGTCAGTTCAGTATTGTTTCAATTGAAATGCGCAGGACACATGACAATGTCCCACAACGGGTCTGGTTCTTCAAGCTCTGTCCCCTGGCTCCTCTCCCACACAACTGAGGAGAGAGACGTCAGGGGACCTTCTATACTCTGTCTGATGACGTGTGATTGGATAATTGGTGAAATGGTGTGATGGGTGGTGACAAGTCATGTAGAGTGGGGGAAAACCTGGGTTGGATCTGGACAACCGGACTGAATTTTACCCTGGTTACATGTGTCTAGAAGTGGCACACTGGACTCGCTTTTTCAGTTCGTTCCTCTGTTCCGTTCCTCGTCGGCGTGGAGTGATGAGTGTGTCTGTGGGTGTTTTTTCGCCGTGTGGTCGCTGTCTTCTCCGTGTGTGTTTGCGTGTTCTGCGGGTGGTGCGGCTTTTTAGTTTACTGAAGTCGTGCTGGGACACCCGAGTGGATTTGTATATGGGGCGCTCTGGATTGTGGGGTGCGTGGTCGTTTTTTGATGGGGTTAGAGGCTTAAGAGCGCGTCTAATAGCCCGGAAAATACGGTAAATAAAATGACTTGACTTGACTTGAATGTCGTTGCGTCCGTAGTGGACACAGAGAATAACCGGTAAAAACGAGTCTCACTCACGTATTTGACGTAGTCCTTCCACTGCTGCCACCACTGCATCGAGATGAGAAACCAGTTCTGTCCCTGCTGAAGCCCGTGTCTGCTCTCCCGCTCCAGCCAGCCCCTGCACGACAAAGATCAAAAGGCCAAAATCGGCTTTATTGTCAGTTTCTTCACACGTACTGAACACACAAACTCATCGGAATTATGTTTCTCTCCATCCCACGAGTAGACAAGACGGGACAAACATTAAAGTGCAAGACAGGACAACATTTACAACCAATAACATCATCATCATCATCAAATAACATCATCTCTAACCACTACAGCAACCACAGATAAACGAATTAAAATAAAAACAACAAAACTATCAAAACACTTCACATGTAAACAGGCTCGTGCAGGGGTAAGGACAGGAATTCTTGTCACGTCTGATAGTTCACACACTCAGATACTTGAATCAGACTGAAGAATCTCAACAGAGAAACAAGCCGAAAAATCGAACTTTGGGTAAATCCAGTTGAGAGAAAAGCGCAGACACGTTTCCCTTTTCCACAAACGCACAAAGCTCTTCCCTCTGCACGTTCTTCACAAACTAAATAGTCTGGATTTGTGTGAAAAGAGTCTTCACCCAAATGAACCAAAACAAACACGGCGACGCAGACACACACAGTACTTCAGACACACAAATCCAGACTATTTAGTTTGTGAAAAACGTGCAGAGGGAAGAGATTTGTGAATTTGTGAAAAAGGGAAACGTGTGTGTGCTTTTCTCTCAACTGGATTTAACCAATGTCCAGTGTTGTGGAGTAACAGATTACATGTACCGGAGTTATGTAATCAGAGTACAAATGATGAGTAACTGTATTCAGTTACAGTTACTGTTTCAGTGAGTGGGAATTGGATTACAGTTACTTTGTTGAAATAAATGGATTACACAGAGGGATTTTCCTGTTTTCACATTTTGGGCTAAACCAGGACTAAACCAGGACTGAACCAGGTCTAAACCAGGACTGAACCAGGTCTAAACCAGGTCTAAACCAGGACTAAACCAGGTCTAAACCAGGTCTAAACCAGGACTAAACCAGGACCAAAACCAGGACTAAACCAGGACCGAACCAGGACCGAACCAGGACTAAACCAGGACCAAAACCAGGACCTAAACCAGGACTAAACCAGGTCTAAACCAGGACCAAAACCAGGACCGAACCAGGACTAAACTAGGACTGAACTAGGACTGAACCAGGACTGAAACCAGGACTAAACCAGGACTGAACCAGGTCTAAACCAGGACTAAACTAGGACTAAAACCAGGACTAAACCAGGACTAAACCAGGTCTGAACCAGGTCTGAACCAGGTCTGAACCAGGACTAAACCAGGACTAAAACCAGGACTAAACCAGGTCTAAACCAGGTCTCAAACAGGATTTATCAGGACTAAATCCTGCTGCGTGGACGTGTTTCCTCATTTTCTATCAATAATATTTTTAATATGGTTCAGTAAAATCTGGGCTTTTTATTTTCTTTTAGCAGATAAAACATCTTATGTGAAGATTTCCTCGTCTTCTGCTTCTCTACAGCAAATCAAGTAATCCAAAGTATTCAGATTACATTACTCACTGTAAGTAATTTAATGGATTCTGTTACAAACTACATTTTGGGGTGTGTAATCTGTAATCTGTAGGGGATTACATTTTAAAAGTAAACTTCCCAACACTGCCAAAGTTCTGCTGTCGTGATGCTTCAGCCAATCAGATTCAGGTATTCGTCTGGAGATCCCGCCTTTTCCCGATCGTTTTCAGTCAGAGTTGTTATAAAGTGATAATGTGTAGAAGTCAGGGATGCAACGATATTCGATATAATATCAAATAATTCGATACTGGTCTCGCGATTCAATATGTGTGTTCGTTCAATGCACACATGTCCCTCCATGAGCACTGTGTTGACATTTATTTTGGTCCAAAAGGAAAACAGTTCTCTTATTGTTCTCCTCAGATGTAACAGAAAAAAACTTTATAGAGACTTGCAGCTGAAATCTTCTAACAGAGAAGGGTTTTATCTTTCACTCACTTTTTATTTTACATTGATAGACCCAGGAACAACAAAGATATTCACTTTTAAATACTTTAGAATTGCTTTTGGCTTCACATTGGCTTTAATCCACAGGTGTCAAACATAAGGCCCGGGGGCCAGATCCGGCCCTCCGAGACCTTTAATCTGGCCCTCGGCTCATTTTCTACTAAAATATTTTTATTAAATTTTCATTTAAATATTGGTAATTTTCTGCACCGCTTAGCATGCCAGCGTCTCCAGAGCCTCTGTGCATGGCCCCTCCCCCCCCTCCCTAGAGCTGCACAAATGAAGACTTGTCTCTTTCCAAATTCTCTTAAAGGACGATTGTTTTGACTGTAGATCATGACACCCTCATCAGTAAAATGACAAAAATGAGAAAAGTGGACACCAAGTGCAGGATTTTCCAAGAAAAATTGACTTGTTCCAATTTGCATTTAAGTTAATCTTAAAACATTGTGTTGAAATTGCATGCAAAGAGTTCATCAATTAAAAAAAGATTTGTGTAATAGATTTGTGTTTCTCTGCACAAATATTTAAACTTATTGCTATTTTTGGGGTTTATATGCTATGAGTTTTCTGATCCGGCCCCTTTGGGATCAAAGTAGGTTCGATATGGCCCCCAGACCAAAATGAGTTTGACACCCCTGCTTTAATCAAATGCGCTCGTATTCACACCTGTGAAGTGACTTGTGATATAAGCCAGTGTTTCCCAAAGACTGGGTCACAAGAGATTTTTTTTGGGTCGCCTTGTCACGATCTGCAAGTAGGTCTGCAATATACAATTCTGACACATGAGACATAAATGTTGGTTCAATTGAATGTTGAAAAGAAAAAGAAACGTGCTACATTTAATGTCCAAATATTTGACTTGAACTTTTACTGCTGCTTCAATGTTTTTCATAGTTTAAAACTTGAGTAAAACTAAATGTTCAGAGACACGATCACTCAGTCAACAATAAAATATCCTCATTAATGTTCAATAATGCTCAAATCCAGTTTTGATTGGATTTATGATTTATGAATATTGTTTAATGAATTGTTTGTTTAATGAAAGGTTTGTGACTTTTAAAATATGGGTACACAGAAAAAAAGAAACACTGATATAAGTGATCTTTTTCTCAGACTGTGTCTCATAAGTTTTACTCAGAATACGGTCTGTGAGACATTTCTATGTAATATAACAGAGTTTTAGTGTTTAGAAAGAGGACGTGAGAGCGCAGTGTGTCTGTAAGAGCACAGACCGTAGGGGACAGTGTGGGAGGAGCCACGTACTGTCTCTGCTGGACACGAGGCAAAGCAGCGCAGACACAGACGTGTGAACGAAGTGAAACTCAGGAGAAAAATAACCATCAAATTATAATCAAAGAAGGAAAAGTCTGATAGTTTATCTCCCCTACAGTCTGTATGAAGAGTCGACTGGTTTATTACAAAATATAAAATAGCCTGAGAAACTCTGTTTTTATTTTCACTGAGTAAAAATTCTGAGCTGTGAATCACTGAACCAAATGAACTAAACACTTCACATATAAACTACAAATGTACACGAGTTTTTTTGAGTCTTAAAACGTATTGAAACTGAATCGATATCGTGACCGTCTATCGAGATGTGTATTGAATCGTGGGAAAACCGTATCGTTGCATCCCTAGTGATAATGTGCAGAAGTCAAGTGAGCGAGACACGCGTCAGTCCGGGGTGAGGCAGGTAAAGTCAAGTCGTGTGTACCTGATAATTTGACCCTCTTCTTCGGGAGTGGCCGGTCTGAGGCCCAAAACTATGTGACAAACCTGAACAGATTAAGTGGTTATAAAACATGTAATCAGAGCATAATTAAACACCACAGGACACGTCAGTTAACACAAGCACCTGGAAAAGCAAGTTCAAGAACTCATTGGCCAGGGCACTTTTGACACTCCATATTTGGTAATCCTCTAAGGTCAGCTGACCCAGCTGTTGGGAAATACACACAAACAAATTAGAAATCAACATTCAAAATGCCCCAGTCTTGATTTAATCACATAAACGTCACAAAACACTTACTTTAGTTGTATCATGCATCTTCAGAATACTCTCCACTATGTCAGACACACTGCTCTGTAACTCCTGACAGAAACAATAAAGATTATAATCCACAGGTTATATTAAAGATGTTTTTATATAACTTTATTTATTGACATTTTAAATTTAAAACAAATAATCTACAATTTAAAAAAACAAGGATAAGCTGATTGTTAGCGCCAAAAAAAAATAATTAAAATCCACTGTAAACATCATGTACAATAAAAAAATAATATAAATGAAATAAACAAAAAATTAAAATAAACAAAAAAATTAAATAAACAAAAAAAACTAAATAAAATAAAAATTAAATAAACTAAAAAAAATAAAATAAAATAAAAATTAAATAAACAAAAAATAAATAAAGCAGTTAAATAATTAAAATTTTTTTATAAATAAATACAATTAAATACAAAATAAAAATAAAATAGATAAAAAAACACACACACACACACAAACATATATTGGGGTAAACATACAAAAAAGTACAGAATATAAATGTCCACGGCACTATGTAACTTTTTCATTGGGGTCCATTATCTTGTGGTTCCCATGGATACGTCATTGCTTTGAATGGAATGTTCCACAGTGCGACTTTAAACAGCTCTACTTTACATTTATTCGATTACACGCGGTTTTAAAGCTTAAAAATACCTAGAAAAACAGACATTCTGACTGTGAGCGGGGTCGCCTTTCCACAGATCTGACCCGCCACTTGGTCTGGTTTGGTCTCCGTGGAGACAGAAAAGTTTAATGCCATACTGTGGAACATTCCAGACAAAGAAATAATAATAAAAATGTCCATGGAGAAAAGCGTTTGACGTACACTCCACCGGAAAAGTTACACACACAGTTTTCCTAAAAGCGTGCGAGTCTTACGGGGAGGGTGTCTGTGCGATTGTCTTTCCAAACTTCCAACAAGGCCACGACCATCTCATGGAGCTCATCCCGAGACAAAACTCCGTCTTTATCAACGTCAAACACCTTAAAACAGACTGAACACAAACACACACAGAGGAGAAAACGTGTGAGGAATAAAACCAGATTTACCTGTAGACATACGATGCATGTCGTTATAATTTGGACATTTTAAATCACAAAAACGACTATAGATAAACTGATTTTCCCGTTCGAGTGTCAGCTATTGGACTCTAGCACATGCCAGTTTTGTTAAATATAAAAATACCCATAAAGCTTTATTTGAACAAGGTATCCCCAGGTTTTACTATCTCAAATTTAAGACTTTTTAAAGACCTTTTTAAGACCACCTTAAATTAAAATTAAGACCAACATCGCACCCTTTATGTGGGCGAAAAACACCAGATCCACTCACTGCTTCAAATAATAAAAAATACTTTGATTATAAAATCTCATTCAGAACTCATTTATAATAGTATGCAGTGCTTGTAAAATGGCCCAAAAATTCAACAAGACAAACTAAAAATCAACTAAATCCCGTTACATGATTTCACTTTTTTTTTTGTTTTTTTTTGTTTTTGTTTGTTTGTTTTTTCTCCTTCGTTTAACATCGCACTGCAGCCCGGTTGAGTAAACAAAAAACAGGCTAATGAAACTTCAGGCCTTTGTGAAAAAAATAAGACTTGGACAACATTATTTAAGATTTTTAAGGCCTTAATTTAGGAACATGAAATTTAAGTCCTTTTTAAGACTTTTAAGACCCCGCGGCTGCTCTGCTGAACACCTGAGTGCAAAATGTGACAACACTACTCTCTTTTAGATCTAAGATTTTAAAAAAAATAATAAAATAATAATAAAAAGACTGTGTAAAGTTAAATTACATCATTTGGGGAAAATAATCCAAAATGCCACAAAAACATCAGCAGAGGTAAATATCGGCCGTCGGCTGCTCTGGATTCAGGGTCCCCGCTCTTTTTCACTGACCAAATTTCAAAACTTTTCAATGGCTTTTTCCATGACCTAAAGTGAATTTTCCATGACTTTGCAGCACCTACATGTGTAGAACTGATCAGACTTTTAGGGCTAAATATAAAATGTTAACTCTTTCCACTCACTTTATGGTTTGGGATTATAAGTTTTTTAACGTTCAAAATCCTGTCAGTGCATTTATTGTCGTCTCTTTTAAAAAAAAAAAAGTAGACAGGCTCGTGCCATCTAGTGCCTCAGCTCAGTTTCATTTCTCTTCAGCAACTAGATCAGGAATCAAATTACAATAAACTGTTCGCAAAACCCCGGAAGTGTGAGTTTGGGCACCAGCCAATCAGCGAAGAACCAGACATTCTGTGTTAACAACGATTCCCGAGATCGAGGATTTAAAGTCGGAACAAAGAGAAAGTTTGGTGAATTTTATCAAGGGAAAAGACCTTATTGTCCTTCTTCCTACGAGATTTGGGAAAAGCTTAATATACCAGTTATCCCCGTTAGCGGCGCATTACATACGTCACGACCAAATAGCAGCGACTGGTTAAATTTAAAAAAGTACTCGCCTATTGTCGAGCGAACGAAATCTAAGGCTGTGATTTCAGACGGTTTGTATGAAGTGAAACAAAGTAAAACGAAGTAAAACCGACTGATGATTCAGGCTAAACAAAAAGGCGCAGACGTTCAGAAATAATCATAATAGCCTCATGAAAACTTAAAGAGAACGCTGGAGTTGTGTGAAAGAGATACTAAAATTCCATGACTTTTCCAGGATTTCCATGATCGTGGGAACCCTGCGCATTCTACACGATCTGTATCTGCATCAGCCATGAAAAAAAAACACAAATCTGTCTCTCAAAAAATCTGCTGACTTCCAGGTTGATGAATTGTGAAACCCAGTGGGAGCGGGACTCTACAGAACCAGACTCTGCACATCACACGAGCGAGCAGCAGATATTTTCTCTTTTGATAATGACTACGCGACGCTACAGAATCGTAAATGTCTCGCAGATTAAGAAAATGAAACCGTGGAACGAAGTAAGCAGGCTGCGAAGTAAGAAGGGTGTACGTGGGTGTGAACTGTTGGCAGTGAAACCCAATCATTTGTTATTTCGCTTTTGATTTTAAACTGAAAATCAAACGATCCACGTGGCACTTCTCCTCACAGAAGCGACAGACAGAGCATCAAAAACCAAACCGAAATTAATTGAACTTACTAAAAATGATGTTATTTTCTGTGAATCCGGCATTTTCAAAACAATAAAAGGGTAACGTGGTGATCTAAATCTGTTGTTTTAGTAAATAATAGTGTAAAAAAATAACAGATTTCTCACATTTCTGCCTCTCTGCGACGGGCCCTCTGCAGCACGCCGACAGACCGCAGGAAATCTCCTTAAAGTCGATGTGATTGTCCCGATTCTCGTCAAACGCGTGAAACAAACCTGCGCCGCAAATAATTACAGAAATACATTAAATTTACGGACACATGACACTGTAACAGGAGCATTTACAGAAGCATTTTTACTTGTTCATGTGTATTAAAGTTGTTTTTTTTTAAAGGCGTCACTGTACAAACCTTTAATTTAAACAGTTCTGGGTTGTGGGAAGGTTTGGTGGAGGCAGTCGAAGTAGAAGTTTTAGTCGTAGTAGAAGTACTGGTAGTTGCAGTACTGGTAGTAGTTGCAGTACTGGTAGTAGTAACAGTAACAGCAGAGTTTCTATTTATATTACAGTAGTAGTATTAATAGTAGTACTAGTAGTAGCAGCAGTAGTATTAGCAGAAGTAGTAGTAGTAGTATTAGTAGTAGTAGCATTAGAAGTATTAGTAGAAGTATTAGTAGTAGCATTAGCAGTAGCAGTAGTAGTAGTAGTAGTAGTAGTAGTAGCATTAAGAAGTATTAGTAGTAGCATTAGTAGTAGTAGTAGCAGTATTAGTAGTAGCATTAGTAGTAGTAGTATTAGTAGTAGTAGTAGTAGTCAGTATTAGTAGTATTAGTAGCAGTATTAGTAGTAGCAGTAGCAGTAGAAGTATTAGTAGTAGCATTAGTAGTAGTAGTAGCAGTATTAGTAGTAGCAGTTAGTAGTAGTAGTAGTAGTAGTAGTAGTAGCAGTAGTAGTAGTAGTTAGTAGTAGCAGTATAGTAGTAGTAGTAGTAGCAGTAGCAGTAGAAGTATTAGTAGTAGCATTAGTAGTAGTAGTAGCAGTACTAGTAGCAGTAGTAGCAGTTATTAGTAGTAGTTAGTAGTAGTAGTAGTAGTAGCAGTAGTAGTAGTAGTAGTAGTAGTAGTAGCAGTTAGTAGTAGTTAGCAGCAGTAGCTAGTATTAGTAGGTAGTAAGTAGCAGTAGTATTAGTAGTAGCAGTAGTAGCAGTAGCAGTAGCAGTAGTAGTAGTAGTAGTAGTAGTCAGTAGTAGCAGTAGTATAGTAGTAGTAGTAGTAGTAGTTAGTAGTAGCAGTAGTTAGTATTATTAGTTAGTAGTTAGTAGTAGTAGTAGTAGTAGTAGCAGTAGTAGTAGTAGTAGCAGTAGTAGTAGCAGTAGTAGTAGTAGTAGTAGTAGTAGTAGTAGTAGTAGCAGTAGTAGTAGTAGTAGTAGTAGCAGTAGTAGTAGTAGTAGCAGCAGTAGCTAGTATTAGTAGGTAATAGCAGTAGTAGTTAGTAGTAGTAGTAGTAGTAGTAGTAGTAGTAGTAGTAGTAGTAGTAGTAGTAGTAGTAGTAGTAGTAGTAGTAGTAGTAGTAGTAGTAGTACACTAGTAGCAGTAAATCATTTTGCAGTAAAAGTACAATCAGTTTCAAACAGACTTTCTTTAATTTATAAATTATGGAAAATAATATTAGTTTATCTTCATTTGACATAAACAAAAACAATAAACATGAATATTTTTAAAACTCTGTGACTGTGTACAGAAGCAGTGAAACAAAAGTACATTTCATTCTTTCACTTGTATTCAGTAAAAGTGTGTGTACCTTCACTGAGCGAGGCGTGGATGGGAGGAGACACCAGAGGCACAAACGTTTCTAAATCGAAGCGTCCTGTTCTGGACTGAGCTTTGAGCAGCCAGTACCTCTTCTCCAGGTCGATGATGTCTGCCTCCTCCACTGGAAAAAAAAACAAAAAAAACACACACACACAGAGAAAGAGAAAGAGGAGAGAAGGAGAAGGTCAGTCAAAAATACACACACGAGGGACAGAATCAAAAAGAAAAAAAGTGACACTGAATGAGAAGCTGTTTGGTTTTCAAAGTCACATTACACTTCACAAATCCATGTATCATTCGTTCATTTGTTTTTCAATATAAAACCAAAAATAAGAAAATGAAAAAACAACAGTTTTCTTCGTTATTTGTCTCCAAAACCAAAATGAAAAAACAGATAATGATTTGTTTTTTTCAGTTTTCGATTTTGTGTTTAAATGAAAAATGGAAAAAACGGATAACGACCGTTTCCCGTTTACGTGACTTCAGTGACTGTGATGCCGGACTGAACCAGGACTGATCCAGGTCCGGGACCAGAGCGGGACTGAGACCAGGACCAGACCGAGACCAGTCCGAGATTGAGATCAGAACTGAGATCGGGACCAGACCGGGACTGAGGCCGAGACCAGGCCGGGACCAGACCGGAGGCTCAGAGCCCACGGCAGGGCTGGAGCTCGAAACTGAGGCTCGGAGTCAAAGCTCGGAGTCAAAGCTCGGAGTCAAAGCTCGGAGTCAAAGCTCGGAGTCCTCTCTGGTCCCGCTCTGGTCCCGATGTCGTTCCGGTCTGGTCCTTGACCTGGATCAGTCCGTATGCAGTGCAAAAGTCCGACATCGCAGTCACGGAAGTCGCGTAAAAAGGGAAGCATCCGTTATCTGTTTTTTCCATTTTTCATTAAACACAAAATTGAAAACTGAAAAAACGAATCATTATCTGTTTTTTTTTTCATTTTGGTTTTGGAGACAAATAATGAAGAAAACAGTTTTCTCATTTTCTCATTTTTGGTTTTATGTTGAAAAATGAATCAACGAATGATACAAGGATTTTCACAGATTCCTCATGATAAAAATAAATAAAATCCTTAAATATATCCTTAATCCTCATTCTTAAGTGTGTTTTGGTTGACCCATACTACAATGTCTCTGGTTTAAACTAGGGCTGTGACCAAAATCAAAGTAATCGATAAATCCCGATCTCTACTTTAGTCGATCTTGATGATAAAGCGAGTGCATTTTCATCGACAGGTCACAGCTGATCATGTGTCAGTGTGTGGAGCTGACGAGGATTTAACGCTCTTTTGTTTAGGAAAAATCAGTCAGGGCTAAAGCGAGTCCTCACTTCTCACAAGTTTTAACTGTTTTGTTTTTTTTTTGGCTCAGGGAGTTGGTGGCGCCAGAAAGCAGTCTCGCCCGGGGAGTAAATCCGTGTAGGACCGAACCTGCTGACACTGAAGTCCACGTCTCTATTTTCAATAAGGTGGAAGAAGATCGAATCTAAAATTGAGATCGATCAACATGGTGAAAAATAAATTGTTATTCTTCTTTCCTTCTTTTTTTCCCCTACATCTGATGCATACTTCAGTGTCTCTGGGTTTAACCTGCATTTGACCCAAAGATGTTCATTTTGTCTTCTTATACACTTTAATTTCTTGGGTTCTTTTTAAAGACAATACAGTAAAGTGTGTTTACCTTGTTGACCTGTTTCGGCTGCTGCTGCATCTTCAGAACTGTCCTCGGTGTTGGTGGTGACGTGTCGTATATCAGTTGTTGTTTCTTCCTGTGGGCGTGGTCAGACCTGATGGACCTGCAGGTCACTCAGACTGACCACGCCTCCAGTCGCCCGGTGTTCTGTGGAGGAGGGTGTCCCAGGTGTGTGAAAGGGGGAACAATCCGGAACAACCACATTATGGATCGGGACGGGGCTCGGGTCATTGGATCGGAAAACAACAAGTTCAAACGCTGGATCAGGGAGGTCGGTGAAATCAGGAAACGAGGCACGGACAGCGTTAACCGAGATGACGGAGCGTTCCTCCTTTCACACACCTGGGACACCCTCCTCCAGAGAACACCGGGCGACGGGAGGCGTGGTCAGTCTGAGCCACCTGCAGGTCCATCAGGTCTGACCACGCCCACAGGAAGTAACAACATCTGATATACGACACGTCACCACCAACACCGAGGACAGTTCTGAAGATGCAGCAGCCGAAACATGTCAACAAGGTAAACACACTTTACTGTATTGTCTTTAAAAAGAACCTAAGAAGTTAATGCATTTGACCCATCCTGCAGTGTTTAATTTTATAAACACTAAAGGCCTCCACACACTACAGGATTTTACAGTCTTAAACAATTTTTAAACGTGCGACAAAAAGCACAAACCACAGACACGAGGAGAATCTGATGAGACTTAAAGTGTCAGAGTAAAGAGTGCAGCGGGACATGGACAGGATATAAATCTGTGAGGCTGTGATGGCGTCAGCTGTTTCCTGTCTCCAGTAAAACCAGTTGCTCTGAGATTCTTAAATGTTCAAAGTCAAAACTGTGTCATTATTATTATTTGTGAAATGTGGAGGAAAATTTCAGATACAGGATTTTTATAGCATAAAAGATTGGAGATAAAGTCCACAGGAAGTCGATTCACTGTCGCTGATCTGCAGCTTCAGCTCAATCCGTGCGCTGAGTGGATGTAAACAGACACACGTGACGAACCAAACTCACTTTTTCACTTTTAAATAACACTTCAAACTGGATTCACAGTCGTGTTTTGTGGACTGAGGCTCAGTATTTGGAGTCAGTTTCTATGAATAATGTGGATGAGACGCTGCAGTTTAAATTTACAACTTTACGAGAGATGAGGAATAAAAATCCATGTATGATTCATTGGTTTTTCAATATAAAACCAAAAATAATAAAACAAAAAAACTACTTTTTTGCTTCTTTTTGTTAATTATTGTAAATATCGTTCTTTTGTTTTACCTTTACTTTCCTTTTAAATAAATCACAACTTTAGTTTTACCACTTTACCCTCTTGGTTATTTTGTGACTTCCCCCTGTCCCTAGCAGAGCTGGGTCGTAACAACCAGGACTAAACCAGGACTGAGACTGAGACCGGGACTGAGACCGGGACCGAGACCGGGACCGAGACCGGGACCAAGACCAGACTGAGACCAGGACAGAGACCGAGGACCAGACCAGGACCAGAGACCGAGACCAGACCAGGACAGAGACCAGGACAGAGACCGAGACCAGACCAGGACTGAGACCAGGACAGAGACCAGGACCGAGACCAGGACCAGACCAGGACCAGACCAGGACCAGACCAGGACCAGACCAGGACCAGACCATGACTGAGACCAGGACAGAGACCGAGACCAGACCAGGACAGAGACCAGGACAGAGACCAGGACAGAGACCGGGACTGATACTGAGAGCAGGATCAGAACTGAGACCGGGACCAAACCAGGACTGAGATCGGGATCAGACCAGGACCAAGACTGGGACCGAGACAGGGACCGGGACTGAGACTGGGACCAAACCAGTTTAGTCCTGGTTCAGTTCCAGCATCACAGTTTAAGTCACGTGAAACGGCTGTTCTCCGTTTTTTCCATTTTTCATTTAAACACAAAATCAAAAACTTAAAAAAATGAATCATTATCTGTTTTTTCATTTTGGTTTTGGAGACAAATAATGAAGAAAATTATTGTTTTTTGTTTTCTTACTTTTGGTTTTATATTGAAAAACAAATGAACGAATGATACACAGATTAATAAAGTCATTATTTTCGCTATTTATTGAGTTTGTATTTTGCGTCTGCGCCCCTGACGCTCCGTTTTATTGACTGGGGTATTGTTGATGTTTCATGGTTATGATCTGACACACACACACAGACACACACACACACACACGAGGAGCAGCAGCTTTAAAATCTCACACAAACACAAAAAGTCGGGTCACGCCTCTCTGAACTCCGTGAGAAGAAATCGCAGCCAAAATCTGTCAAATTCTCCTGTAGTGTGTCTCGGCCTTTCCTCACCTTAAAAAGTCATAACACAGAAACTTATTAAAAACAAAAAGAACTTCCAAACTCCACAGAGAACTACAGTGCGGCCAACACGGTGGAGTTTAAAAGGTGCGGGCCGTAACCTTTCTTTGACTCAGCCGCGTTTCCTGCATCAACACAGGCCCCAGACGCTGATTCAGCTGCGGCTCATGGAATCATAAACACGTTTCGCTCCCGACTCCTGCCCCAGTGATCTGCGCCGCACCTCCAGCCTTTTGCTCTTAGGGCGCTGGAGCTAATCCACGAGCTTTGCCTAATAGGATTCACACGCGGAGTCAGTCTGCAGCAGAGACGCCGGAATATGACAGGTGTCAAAACAAAAACACACAAAACACAGGGGGCAGTACTGAGGCACGTCACCGCCGTCGCTCTGAATACCTGGAATCATATTTTTACTTTTTACTTGTTAACTGATGTAATGTTTTTGTTTTTAAAAGTGCTATAATTAAAAGTGTCTTATTTATAGTGCTGTCACGAGACTGAAACTTCAAAATATCCCGCTTCTGATTCACAACGGATCATTTTAAAAGCTGTTTTTTAGACAATATTGTAATTTCCAACACAAAATAACACGTTTGTTTATTACACTTACACGACTTCTGATCGAACTCAAGAGGAAGCTGTTCAGGAAAGGTCAAATGTTATTAATAATAGAAGTTTTTTAGTACAGAAACCTGCACAAATGAGTATCTAGTTTTGATTATTATCTGATTTCCGCTTGTCAATCTCACGCTCCATCCTCATTTGTGAACAAAACCCCGAGATACTTGAACTTCTCCACTTGAGAGGTGGATCTGTGCAGCGTCAGCAGTGATGTGGTCGCTGTATGTGGACGCTGTGGTGAAGAGGAGCTGAGTCTTGATTTAGCGCAAGTCTCTGTTCCTCCCTTCACCTCTGGTCATGAGCTCTGGGTAATGACCGAGAAGACGAGATCAACGATACAAGCGGCCGAAATAAGTTTCCTGCGCAGGGTGTCTGGGCGCTCCCTGAGAGATAGAGTGAGGAGCTCAGTCACACGGGAGGAGCTCGGAGTAGAGCCGCTGCTCCTCCATGTCAAGAGGAGCAGT